CATCATAAAATTAAATATATTCAAAACTAGCCGTTACAAAAGAAATTAAATATAATCAAAACCAGCAATTAAATATATTCAAAACTAGCCGTATATAATACTCCCTCTGTTCTCAAAAACACTTCTTCTTTCATTTTTTCCACTTCCAACAAAATACTTCCTCTTTCTATTAAAAAACCACTTTTACCCTTACTTTTTCATACCCTACCTATCACATCATACTTTTTCTTTAATAATCTATCCATCACATCTTACTTTTACCCATCACATCAGGGGCAAAATTGGAAATCAACTACAATTTAACACTTCCTTATTTTTGCCTCCAAATTAAATGGGAAGGGTTTTTCCAAACGGATGGAGTATATAATAGTTACATCTAGCCGTTATAAGATAATCATTATCAAAATTAGCCGTTTGCAAAATAACACTAACTGCTAGCTTCACCTTTTCTCCAATACTACTTAAACTGTCAAATACTACTACTGCCTATTACTTTATATCTAAACTCATCCACAGAATGTCTCAAAATCATATTCCATTTGAGGGAATGAGCACTACTGAAATTATTGTGCAAGAAATGGATAGTGAATTTACTCACTGGGTGAGGAGGCGATTACAACAACCTACGGGACAAAAAGCAAGCAACTCAAGTAGGCGCGCAAATACAAGAAAACATAAAGATAGAGAGCGTGAAATCGGAGAAAGGCGTCTGTTCAAAGACTATTTTTGTAACCAACCTTTATATACTGATTATGATTTCCGTTGAAGGTTCCGGATGCAAAAACATCTATTCATTCGCATAGTTAATTAATGAGCTTGAGAGCCGTTACCATTATTTAAAAAAAAAGGTTGATGCTACTGGAAGGAGTAGTTTTACTCCCCTAGAAAAATGCACTAATACTGCTCTTCGCATGTTGGCTTACGGAGTGCCTGCTGACTTTCTAGATGACTCAATGCGAATGGGTGAGACAACTGTTCTTGAATGCACCAGAAATTTTGTTACATCAATTAAAGAGGTATTTGGACCTACTTATTTAAGGGAACCTGATGCCACACATTAATCGTTTGCTTCGTATTGGAGAAAGGCGTGGCTTTCCAGGTATGTTAGGAAGTATTGGTTGTATGCATTGGGAATGAAAAAATTGTCCCAAGGCATGGCATGGATTTTACACGAGAGGTGATATTGGTAAGCCAACAATTATGCTCGAGGCAGTAGCGTCTCAAGATTTATGGATATGGCATGCATTCTTTGGTGTTGCAGGGTCGAATAACGATATTAACGTGTTAAACCGATCTAATTTGTTCACCCGCAACCTTCAAGGACGAGCTCCGCCGGTTAATTACGAGATAAATGGTAGACAATATAATTTAGGATATTACATAGCTGATGGTATTTATCCACAGTGGGCTGCATTTGTCAAAACTATTCGTTTGCCACACGGAGAGAAGGCAAAACTGTTCGCAAAGCATCAAGAAGGAGCAAGAAAAGATGTGGAGCGAGCATTCGGAGTCTTGCAATCTAGATTTGCCATCGTGCGTGGGCTGGTAAGAATCTGGGATACGCCAACTCTTAGTGATCGATATCATGGATGCATGCATCATATTACACAACATGATAGTTGAGGACGAAAGAGATAAATACGAGGGTGATTACTCATATGAAGCTTTTGATGGAACGCCAACCTCACCAAATGCTAATGTGGATCATGGAGCTCCTCCTGCATTAGCAGCAATCCTTCGTGTCAACGCAGATATCCATAGTAAAATTTACACTAAATAGGACTAAAACATAATGTCTTTCCTAATGTAGGACTTAAACTTTTTTATTCCTTAAATAGGACTTAATAATGACCTAGTAGAAGAAATAATGTCCCGTAATGATGGACATTTAGTTGAATAATGACTACTTGATAATGACCAAAGATCCTACATTGGGAAATAAAAACATATGGTCCTATATTGGAAAAGTCATTATGTTTTAGTCATATTTAAGTAAATTTCTCATATTCATAATCGGCAAATGCATCAACAACTCCATGAAGACTTGGTGGAACATATTTGGCACAAGTTTGGAAGCAACAACTAGCAATTGGTGAAGACATTTGGCAGTAGGAAAACATTCAACTATTCAACTATAATAATGGCTCCATTATTAGTCATTCATGTAAGGGGAGAACCCATCCAACCTGTTTTTTGTGTATTTTTCTTAGTTATTCTCTGTTCTTGATCACAGTGGATTTCAAGCTAAGGAAAGCTTCTTCATTGAGTTACTGTTTTTTTTAATAAAGATTTATGCAATTTTTTCTATCAGCCATAACACCACGAATCCTAGTTAGTTGCAATTGAGGTGACAACAAGCTAGTTTTAAAATATAAAGAGTAGTTTTTTTCAATAATATATTTTAAGGTTTTATTTTCAAGTTTTGTATAATTATAATACTCCGTAATTTATCATATAACTAAATACTTATAATTAAAAAAATATAAATATATTTTAGTGGACCCACTATATTAATTTAATACGGAGTAGATATTTAGGCATCCAAATGAGATGCTACCATTGAAAAAATGGGATGCATGTTAAGAGAGATGCTAAAATAACATCTTTATAGTGGAGCCCACACTTGAACATCTACTGAGAGATGTTCCCATTTTGGATGCCCTAAGAACTTCTGAGATTGGTCAAATGGTCTAAAATCACAAATACTCAATTTATGATATAGAGTAGAGCTTCCACATGGGAGTCATGGTGCAAACACTCCGATCACGACGATAGCTTTTGCCAATTCAAAAGGGGAGGAATATTGACGACACTGCAGCAAGAAAAAAGGTAACTTTTTTAAAGGTAAAAATGAAAAGGTTACTTTATCACTCAGACAACTCCGTGTATTTTTTGCCATTGAAATGCATCCATTTTCCCCCCACTTTTCGAGAACCTGCCAAGCTTGGGTGTAAAAGATAAATTTTGGAAAATTTGCCAGTAAAAAAAAACAAAAAAAAGGAAAGAAAGAAATAAATAAAGAAGGGACAAGTGGCCATATTTTTAGGCGATACGGAGTACAACTAATCCTATAAAACTTTATTCATATAATAATGATTATTATTATAAACTAATAAAATAAATAAATATATTTCATGTGTCCCTAAATTTTCGTCCTCTTTATATCGCGTATGAGATTTTATTTTTTTAAAATTGATTTTATTCATAAATTGGTATAACATACCAGTTCAAGTATTTCCCTTTTTTTGCTGTCCTTGGAGAATAGAAATCCATATTCAATGTTACGGTATTTTAGTTTACTCCTTTCGTCTAACACAGATTACCACAGTTTGATTATTTGCTCAAATTAGGAACAAATTATATTTAGTTATAATGTAAAATTAGATCTATTTTAATAATAATTTTGATATATCAAAATTTTTTAATATTAAATTATTTAAAACTCTATTTAATTTATGGTCCAAGTGTTGCGTAGTTTGACCAAAAAAGTTAAATTATGATAATCTCTTTATGATAAAAGAAGTATATATAAATTGAGATATATCAATGATCAAAGTACTACACTAGAAATCATGAAAACACAAATAAAAAAGGTCAAAGATGGATGGAGTATAATCCTATCAGAGAGAAAAAAATTTAAAAGAAAAGAAATCACTCTAAATAAGAGTAAAATATAAAGAAATCAACAAAACAGAATGAAGTCCTATGTTTTTATCACAAAATACTAGTTTGCACTGTGTTAATGTACAAATGTGGCACTCTATATGGACATTTCACAATATGTTTTAGTAATGTATGTGGTCATATATGATTGACACTGTAAATATTTTTTAACTCCTATTTCGAGATTAAAAACATGAAACTTCTATTTTGGTATATTTTCAATATTTTACTTCTACTTTTTTTCCTCTTAAAAGAGTTGAACATGCTAATAGAAAACATGAAACTAAATTACTCCGCAATTGCCAAGGACCTTGTAGTCCAATGACACCGCTATAACACTCCTAAATGAGAGGTCACTTGTTTGATCCCTAGTGCGGGCAGTATCTCTACAAATTTTAATGGATTGAGAATGTATGAACAAATACTACATTATAATAGAGTTATTACTCTGTATTATTTAAAAAGAATTACTCTGTAGGAAAAGTATTACGGGGTATTGTGAATTTTGGAAACACTAGCACTACGTTTGGTTCAAGAAATTTTGTTGGAAAAGAAAAGAAAATTATTTTTTCTCATTTCCTCACCAAAATGGAAGAAATTTGGTTTTTCTTCCTCTTAGTACATTTTGCTTTCTCATTTTCTTTTCTTTCCACCTTTCTTTTAATTTGTTTTCCTCTCTAACCAAACAAAAAAATGGTTTCCTCCTCATTTTTTTCCGTTTCTTTCTCAAATTTCTTTACATTATGTTTGGTTCAAGGAATTTGATAGGAAAAGAAAAAAATGAGTTTTCCTCATTTTACTCCCAAAATGGAAGGAATTTTGTTTTTTTTCATTTTCTTTTCCTTTCACTTTTTCTCTTATTTTCTTCTCAAATTTCTTGAACCAAATATAATGTAGATCTCTGGTACTAGAATTTGTCAAAGGACAATGACATAAAGATGGATTAATAAAGGTAATATCATGACGGAGTGATACTTTGGGAGTTTATCGTTGTAGACTTAATTTTTTACGGAGTAATAGCTACGTACTAATCCATCCATCTATGAGTATTATTTAGTAATACTTACTGCCTACAGAAATATTCTTCTCATTTAATTTTTATAGTCAAAGATTATAAACTTTGACTCATAAAAAAATTGCATTGTATTATGATATAAATTAAAGAAAATTTTAGTATCAATATATTCTTATTGAAACGTAATTTTAAAATATCAAATTTTTATAAAATATATCTATATATAAATATAGATATTAATTATCAAAGTGCAACAATAAAGACGGTGAAAAGTCAAATGAGTAGAATATATTTATAAAGACGCCTACCAATCCAATTACATAGTGTGTGTGTGTGTATATAAGCATCATCCTGGCATTGATTTTTCGATCACGGTCTTGAGACTATTAATGTGGTTGTTGTTGTTGCTATAATTGTCATCCGGCCAGGTGAAGAAATTAAATAATATACATACAGTACATAATTGGGAGTTAAAAAGATGAGAAGAGTAATGGCGGCGTATAGCATCAGCTATGGTGGTGGTCTGCGGGGAGTAGTAGCTGGGCGAATAATTCTAATTGTGAGTTTGGTCATCCAAAATGCATATGGCGCCAACGCTAAATATTCTGACAGGTGGGTGACAGGAGAAGCTCATGCCACCTTCTATGGAGGACCCAATGATTTCGATTACATGGGTATGTATGTATGTAATCATATATATGTACATACACTATATATCTTCCGCGCGTCCGTCCAAATGTGTATTCGATCCGTTTGATTTTTTCGAATCAAACTAGACGACGAACTAATTTGGAACTCAAAAATTAATTGTTTCATTGGTAGATTTAATTTATCTAGCTAGCTTGTTGGGAAAAAAATGCAGGAGGGGCGTGTGGGTACGGGAAGCAAACAAAAGAATGGTACGGGGACGACAGTACGACAGCACTAAGCTACGCATGGTTCAACAACGGACTCTCTTGTGGGCAATGCTTCGAGATCAAATGTGACGATGAGGTTGATCCCCAATGGTGCATACGCGGCGCGTCTGTCACCGTGACCGTCACCAATTCCTGCCCCCCCAACCCTGCCCTTCCTAGCGACAACGGGGGATGGTGCAACCTTCCACTCAAACACTTCGACATGGCTATGCCCGCTTGGTTGAAGGTTGCCAAGTATAAAGCCGGAATCGTCCCCGTAGCATATAGAAGGTATGTACGTAAGTACGTATAGTAAAGTCTATTGCACCGATCGACACGATTTACTCTGATTCCTCTAGTTTAAGTTGGTAAAAAATAATGATAATGTGCACCGTTACGCCATGATATTAATTTGTATCTGTATCCAGGGTACCGTGCGAGAGAAACAATGGAGTGAGATTTACAATAACGAAATCATCCCCGTACTTCAGTTGGGTGTTGATATCGAATGTGGGTGGAGCTGGAGCTGTGACAGCAGTGCAAATGATGGGTTCCAAGGGTAATGGGTGGAGGGATATGCAGAGAAACTGGGGGCAAAATTGGCAGATCGATGAATCCCTCACAGGCCAGGCCGTGTCTTTCAAGGTCGAAACTGAAGACGGGGAATCCGAATCTTTTATTAATGCTCTCCCATCCACTGCCAATATTGGGCAGGATTTCTTGGCCAGCCCTAATGACCAATTCCACTAAATATAGCCCCGCCCGCCCTCATTCACCTCTTTGAATTGCCTGGGGCGGCGGCATACTATATTATACTACCATGTCCATCTCGCACATTAGTTGTTACTTCAATCTACTTCATTATTATCCTACGTACTCTTGTACTACGTATTAAATAATATTAGTCCCTCTGTCCCAAAGAAAAAGTATTTGACTTTCTAATCTAATTTTTATTAAATTACAAGCACTGATCTGAGTATAAATTAAATTTTGAAAAATATACTCTCTCCGTTTGGAAAAACCCTTCCCATTTGATTTGGGGGCAAAAATAAGAAAGTGTTAAATTATACTCCCTCCGTCCCATAAAGTGTTACTCATTTTGACTAAAGTTAAAATTAAGGGAGGGATAAATTTGTGTTGACTTTCCAAAAATACCCTTGATGTGATGGGTAAAAGTAGGATGTGATTTGTAGATTATTAGGAAAAAGGTATGATGTGATAGATAGAGTTTGAAAAAGTAAGGGGTAAAAGTGGTTTTTTAATATAAATGGGTAAGTGATTATGAGACGTAATTTTTTTGAAACGTGTAAATCTTTTTGGGACAGAGGGAGTAGTTGATTTCCAATTTTGCCCCTGATATGATGGGTAAAAATAAGATGTGATGGATAGATTATTAGAGAAAAAGTATGATGTGATAGGTAGGGTATGAAAAAGTAAGGATAAAAGTGGTTTTTTAATAGAAAGGGAAAGTGTTTTGTTGGAAGTGGAAAAAATGAAAGAAGAAGTGTTTTTTAGAACAGAGGGAGTAATTAATTACGGAGTATTATATAATTAGTTTAATCTGAAATGTGCTAGTGATAAATCAAATTTGTACTCAGTAGAACATTTACTTATTCAAAAGAGTAAATCTCATTANTTAAGCCTACACGGCATATTTGGGAGCCAAATTAAAATTCTAAAATTTCAACTAAAATTTTTAAACTTCCCACCCAAAAAAAACAAAAACAAAGTAATCTTCCTATAAATAGCATGAGTGAAGCATTCAATACATTCACCCAAAACATACTCCTCCACTAATGGAGGGTCTTCAACCGCCCCACTTCTACCATACCATCAGAGGCAGTCCCTCTTTCATTTTCATTTTCATCCCTCCTTCACCTTCTAGCATCAACACATGCTCCCTTTTCATGCCCTCTGATCTGCAACTAGTATAGTTGTAAATGGTGATTGCAATCTACCCCCTTGTTGTAAATGTTCCTTTTTTTTCAGCTTCACTACTCCTGAAACACAAGTACCAGATACATCAAGCATTAATATAACCAAAATAAATGAAGAACTTAGAAAACGTGTTGTAGATGTGCTCCTAGAAATTGCAAAGGATGGCAAACCTCAGCGTGGCAGTTTCATCACTCTAGCAGAGAAGTTCAACATTTCATCACGCACACTGTATAACATATGAAATGCAGCGAAGGTACAAATGCAATCAGATCAGCCTATTGATGTTACATGTAAGTGAAAGGGTAATTCAGGTAGAATAGGCTATGCCTATAGACACAGAAAAGATGGTTGTTGTGCCACTAAACAAGTTCAAAAATATTAAAGCTCTTAGCTTTGCCATGAAGGTAACCAAGTCTATTGTGCATAGATGGCTTCAGTCAGAAGCCATTAGGAGACACTCTAGTGCAATTAAGCCAATTTTATGTGAGCGGGGTAAACTTAAGAGACTTAGGTTTTGTTTGGATAACATAATTAAGTCCCAATACCATCCCACAAAATTCAACATTTTATTACTGTTATGATACCATTTATATTGATGAAAAGTGGTTCAACATAACAAAAACCTTGATCACTTTCCACATGCTACCAGCCAGATGAAATTGATCTTTATAGAACATTACAGTCTAAGAGGTATCTGTTATTTTAATATCAAACATCATTATATTTTATGAACTTAATAACAAGCACCCAAAACCATTGAATGTACATTATTATCACATTGCACACTAACACACCACAGACAATAGGCTGACCATGCATGTATTGTACATAAATTTCCAGCACACACCACATAAAAGTAAGCCTCCAACATATAAATGGGTGGCATTACAGAACACACATGAAGATGAATGTAAAAGAAACTTGCATCATCAGTTTGCCTTATTAAAATATCATGAAACAATTTAATAAAATAAGCATACTAAAACGTAAATTGAAGGATACACTGTCTGTATTGGGCCAATTTTCCCGAATCCCATGTTGGTTCTTCATAGAAGATTTCAAGATCCGATATATCTCTTCAATCTCCCTCGAGGTAACCGAATCCTCATCTTCTTCCTTGCCTTCCCACTCATCTATAGAATCTAGAGGGTATCCTCCTCCAAAATACTTTTTCCGAAAGTGCCAAGTCGGATCTATTTCTAAAGATTCAAATCCAGAAACTTACATGTCATACCACCAACAATCAGTATGGCTTGGCGATTGAAAAGGATTTGGAGGAGGAGACCTCTCTTCAATTCCTCGCCATTCGTAAGTAAATGGAAGTTGGGCATTGAGGGATCTGAAGGTCCCATTTGTAGTGGGGTGAAAAGCAGAGTTGGAGCTACATTGAGTAAAGAGAATTAAAGGAGGAAGAAAGGGAAGCAGAGAATTGAAGGAAGAAGATGAGGAAGACGGAGAATTATATTGAAGGCGAAGAATTGAAAGAGGAAGATAAGGGATGAAGGTAAGGTTACGAAATGTCAGACAGAGGGATGTGTAGAAGTGACGGGTGGGTGGGTGAGGGAGGTAAGGTTTCTTAAGGGTATTTGTGTCCTTTTTTAACAAATTGAAATATTTATGGGACAGGTAAAAAGTGAAAGTTAAAATGTTTTCAGAGACGGAGGGAGTATTACGCTCGTGGTCATTGGTCCTTCGTTTATGGGTACCTTTACGATCATGTTGATGTTAAATAATTGAGGGATAAAACTATAATTTTACATGAGCCTTACATCAGTATTGACAAAGGTCGATCGCTGCTGATGTGTCGTTTGTCCGTTGTCGTCGACACCCACTATAACCCTAGTCAAGAACTATGTCAAAGGTTAGAATCTAATATGTGGTCATAGGTATTGTTGTTGAGTTGTTCATCGAGCCGGCATCAGAATACATGGCTTAAACATAAAATTGATGTGAAATTACAATTTTAACCTTCAATTTAACATCAACAAGACGAACAAGCAAACAAATTAAAGAACTATAATTATATCCATGGAAAGATACCGTTAAACAAATGACTATGAATATAATTAATATTTGGTAATAGATAATCAAAAACGGAAAACCTCCATTTCAAAATACTCCGTACGTATTATGGAAAAAAAGGATAAAAATTTACGGAGTATATTAATGGCCTTCCAAAGCCATGTGTTAGGATGAAAATTGGCAACGATAATAAAAAAGCGGAGGATTGAGCGATATTCCATAGCATATACATATATATATATCCCTCATTAATCCAGACACATACACCTGCTGGCGCATATGATCATAATATTATTGTCATCCAGCTCGATCAGGTGAAAAATTAATAAATAACTAAATAAATAAATAAATAAATACTGATCCCCGTAATTAATATTGACAATGATGGCGTATGGTGGTGTGCGGGGATCATTAGGGCTGATTATTATTGCAATTAATTTGGTTATAATTAGTTTAGTCACCAACGCCGCCGCCAATGCTAATCCCGGTTCCGCTCGCCGCTGGGTCGGAGGAGTGCATGCCACCTTCTATGGAGGACCCAATGATTTCGATTACATGGGTAATTATTTCAACTTTTAATTAATTAATCTTTTTTAAAATTAATTCCCCTGAGTACATAATTAGGGTTGGTGACGAAATGAATTTGTGAATATGTAACCATACACTACACATATAAGGTGGAAAATTTGCACCATGATGATATGCATGGTTGTATGGGAAATTTTGCAATATTCAAGGTAACATTAAGTTGTTGATTCCTAACTCAAAATACATTTTTTCGTAATTTCTAGTCAATGTTTAAAAGTTTTTACAAAAAAAATTAAGATCGAGAAAAAAATATAAGACGGAGAGAACATATGTTATGGATGGTTTAATTATAATCCTCATTTTTCAAGAAATTTATTTAAGTACAATAATATTAAATACTCGTATGTTCTCCAAATTGATTTGTTCGTTATTCATTTATGTCATCAAATTGTATTTTTAATAATGAAGGAGGGGCGTGTGGGTATGGGAAGAAAACAAAACAATGGTATGGAGCGGATGGCACGACAGCGCTAAGCTTCGCGTGGTTCAACGAAGGACGCTCTTGCGGGCAATGCTTCGAGATAAAATGTGACTATGCCGCCTACCCTCAATGGTGCATACGCGGCACATCTGTCACCGTCACCGTAACCAATTCTTGCCCCTCCGGGGGTTGGGGTTGGTGCAACCCTCCCCGCAAACACTTCGACATGGCCATGCCCGCTTGGTTGAAGATTGCTAAATATAGAGCCGGGATCGTCCCCGTACTTTACAGAAGGTACGTACGTACCTACACTCATGCATGTATTGATTATATTAGAAAGGTATTATCTGTTAATACTTTTTTCAATCTAATGACGTACAAAGAGTCAACGCATCCACCTCCGCTAGGGCTCAAACCTAGGTACGGTGAACTTCCCCATATATCCTAGGAGTGACTTCCTGCCACTCAAGTCAGGCTAGATTGCTAGAAGTTCGATTATTGGATTGTATCTGTTAGAATATAATTAGTCTTCCTGGGCCACAACCACAAGCTTGAGCTTTTGGTTGAACTGGTTTCTTGACATGTTATCAGAGTCTTCTTGGCTAAGAGGTCACGGGTTCAAAACTCAGCGCCACCCATCTTTATGAAAATTAAAGTTTCACGTGCAAGGCTCGAAAAAAGATTATGCATGCACGGGAGGGGGCGTGTTAGAATATAAATAACTCTTCCTAGACCACAACCACAAGTTTGAGCTTTTGATTGAACTGGTTCCTTGACAGTATCTTATAATATAATGTTTCGCTGTACGTATGTACCGATCGTCTTCAGGGTGCGTTGCAAGAGGCACGACGGGGTGAGGTTTACGGTAAACGGCATAAACGAGTACTTCAGTATGCTGTTGATATCGAATGTGGGTGGAGCCGGGGCGGTGAGGGCGGTGAGCTTCAAGAGCGGGAAGGATAAGGTGTGGAGGCCGATGCAGAGAAACTGGGGGCAAAATTGGAACATGGATCCACGGTTCAAGGGGCAGGCACTGTCTTTCAGGGTCACAACGGAGGACGGCCACACCAAAACTTTTTGGAATGCTCTCCCATATGGTTGGGCTCATGGCCAGGATTACCATACCAGCATTAATGATCAATTCTACTAATTAATTCATGATGACGACAATAATCATTTTTTTCATGCACAGACGATGTCAAATTAATTGCACGTTTCTACATATACCTAATTGCTATGTAGCTAACTCTATGTAACGTTTATGATCTAAATTATCCATGCATGCAAAATGTAAATGTTTGGTATCCCCTCCGTCCATGCATTTTGATTCTTCTCCGTTTGATTTTTACGGTTAAATTGTTTAAACTTTGACTACAAGTTATATTGTTTACTGTGTACTCCATATATGATATACCTATATACAAAGTATATAAGTAGAAGGCTAAAATCCATCATTGGTCATTCAATTTTGTGAGCTGATGTGCACAAATGTTCTTTCAAGTTTCAAAATTCTATAAACAGTTCTTCAAGTATTCAACAACCTCTAAATGCAGTCCCTCAAGTTTTAAAAGTTTATCGCCTACTATAGGTACAAGTAATCCGTATAGTACTATATATAATTATATACTCCTTCCGTTTGGGAAAACCCTTCCCACTTTGAAAATAAGGCAAATTAAGGAAGTGTAAAATTATAGTTGACTTCCAATTTTGCCCCTGATGTGATGGGTAAAAGTAAGATGTGATGGATTGATTATTAGAGAAAAAGTATGATGTGATAGGTAGGGTATGAAAAAGTAAGGGTAAAAGTGGTTTTTTAATAGAAAGGGGAAGTGTTTTATTGGAAGTGAAAAAAAAATGAAAGAAGAAGTGTTTTTGAGAACGGGGGGAGTATATATGTGTGTGTGTGTGCGCGTGTGTGTGTGTGAAGCTAGTAATCCCTTTATCTTCTATCGTGTAATGTAAAGTTGAATGAGTAGTCGTGCACAGCTCATAAAATTGAAAGACCAATCTTGGAGAGTCAGAGAGTATTTCCTGAAATTTTACAAAAACAGAAAAAAATATACTCCCTCCGTCCCATGAAACATGGGACTTTTGCTTTTTAGGAGGGATTAAAGGGGAGTGTATTTTGGTACTCCCTCCGTCCCTCATAGATCTTCCCATTAGCCCTTTTTATTTGTCCCACATAGATCTTCTCATTACCTTTTTTAATAATTAAAATACCACAATTACCCCACTTACTTTATTTATTACACCTTTTCGACCTTATTTAATACACCCCACCTATTTTCATTAAGGGTATTTTGGTAAACTTTCACTTTTTTTCAACTCTCCTTAAAAACCGCAAAAAGTCACAACGAGAAGATCATAGAGGGACGGAGGGAGTATTAAATTTCCAAAAATGTCCTTGATGTGATGGGTAAAAGTATGATTTGATGTATAGATTATTAGTAAAAAGGTATGATGTGATAGTTAGAGTATGAAAAAGTAAAGGGTAAAAGTGACTTTTTAATAGAAATGAGAAGTATTTTGTGGAACGGATAAAAAAAGAAAGGAGAAAGATTTTATGGGACGGAGAGAGTATTCATCAAGAACTTAAAGTATTGCATTGAAATGGGAACATGCACTTGATTAGAACGTAACCTAGAAGTCTAATATTGCAGTTTGTCAAAAAGGAGAGACATAATGATGGATTAATTGAGGAAATACCATGACAGAGTGATACTTGCGGAGTTTATCATTGTAGACTTCCCTCTGTCTTCAATAATGTTTTACGATTGACCGAGCACGGAAGTAAAGAAAAATTAAATTGTATTGTTGAAAGTGCTATACTACATCGGACCACAAAAAATTTTCAAAATTTGATAAGTAAACCTTTTTTCAGGGACAAACCAAAAATTAAAGGAATATGGAATATTATCATTGCAGGACAAAGAGAGTATTACTTCGTATAAGCTATTCAAAAAGTATTTATAGATAGTTATACTCCCTCCGTCTCATAAAACATGGGACATTTGCTTTTTAGGAGGGATTTAAGGGAGTGTATTTTAGTATTGAATTTCCAAAATTGTCCTTTGATGTGATGGGTAAAAGTATGATTTGATGGATAGATTATTAGTAAAAAGGTATGATGTGATAGTTAGGGTATGAAAAACTAAGAGGTAAAAGTGACTTTTTAATAGAAATGAGAAGTGTTTTGTGGGACGGATAAAAAAAGAAAAGAGAAAGGTTTCATGGGACGGAGGGAGTATTTAATTACAAAGAAATACCCGCTATATATACAACGTTTGAAAGATACATTACTTTTTCCTAGAAATGAGAGTGTTCCTGAAATTATTCAAGATCATAAAGTACGTATTACCTTGGGACACTTTTTTTACCGTTACTTTGGGACACTTGAATGACTTTATTTCTAATATTGCAGTTTATTGTCAAAAGTGAAATTTGAACTAAATAGGACTAAAACATAATGATTTTCTTAAACTTTTTTATTCCATAAATAGGACTTAATAATGACCTAGTGGAAGGAATAATGTCCAGCAATGATATACATTTAGTTGAATAATGACTTCGTGATAATGACCAAAGGTCCTACATTGGGAAATAAAAACATATGGTCCTATATTGGAAGTCATTATGTTTTAGTCCTATTAAGGTAAATTTCTCTTGTCAAAACGACAGACAAAATGATCGATTAATTGAGGAAAGATAAATTTACCTAAATAGTATTAAAATATAATGACTTTCTGATTTCAATATAGCACCATATGTTTTTATTTTGTAGGACTTTTGGTCATTATCAATTACTCATTATTCAACTAAATGTCCAGCATCACTTGGACATTATTCGTCTCTCTAGTCATTATTAAGTCCTATTTAATTAGGGAATAAAAATTTTTAAACCTACATTGGGAAATGACTTACGTAGTATATTTTAGTCTTATTTAGTGATACTCGCCGTGTTTATGGTTGTAGACTTTACTCCGTCTCCAATTATGTTTCCAAGATGTACGTACTCTCTCTCTCTCTTACTCCGTCCTAATATATTTGCCACATTTTATAAAATGAGACAAAATATCAAGATTTTTCAATTCATTTCATTTAAATATTAATATAGAAATAAAAAATACTCTCTCCATCCCAGAGTATTTGTCCACTTTTATTTTTACACACCATCCAATACACTTCTTTAATCCATTTTATCTTGAAATTTGTATATTAAAACATTATAGAGATTATATGTTAATAATCTACTCCGTATATATTAAGACAAATCAAACAAGATCACACATGACTATATTTAGGATTACACATTAAGAGAATTTGATGAGTCAAAGTGCTTAGATGAACAGTTCCAAAAGTCAAAAATGGACGAATATAGCGGGACGGAGGAAGTAGAATTTACATACTGAAAATCTATATGAAAAATTCTTCGAAATAAGAGGTGTCAAGAATATTTTATCTTATCAAATAATCAATAAAACGTACAAACAAACAAAAGATTTCGGGGATGATTAAAAAATAGAATGTGGCATTCTTTTTGGGGTGGAGGGACCGAGGGAGTACAATATTTGACAATTGACGGAGTGCAGAGAGTAAAAAATTAAATTGTATCGTTGAAAGTGGTATATATGAGAAAAATATTTAGACCATAAAAAATTCTCAAAAATTGGAAAGTAGACCTTTTTTGTGATGAAGGAACACTTTGAAGGAATTGTGGAAAATATTGTGGGACAGGAAGTATATTATTTAATTATATTACTCCCATATGAAAAAATTATATACTTTCTCCGTCCCAAGAAAATTTCTTTTTTGAAAGAAATCGCATTTTAAAAATGTGTAATTTTTTCATTATTTTTCAAACCATAACTCATCTATCATATCCATCATATCCTATTCTGTTACTTCATCCGTTCTCAAATAGAGTTCTTATTTTGACCAAATGTAAAAATAAGTAAGTGTTAAATTGTAGTTGACTTCTAACTTTGTCTTTGATATGATGGATAAAAGAAAAATGTGATGGATGGATTATTAGAAAAAAAAGTATGATGTGATAGGTAGGGTATGAAAAAGTAAGGGTAAAAGTGGTTTTTTAATGAGTAATTTACATAAATAGGACTAAAACATAATGACTTTCTCAATATAGGACCATATGTTTTTATTTCCAAATGTAGGACCTTTGGTCATTATGAAGTAGTCAATATTCAAGTAAATGTCCATCATTACTGGACATTAATCCTCTCACTAGGTCATTATTAAGTCCTATTTAGGGAATACAAAAGTTTAAATCCTACATTAGAAAAGTCATTATGTTTTAGTCCTATTTAGTGCAAATTTCACTTTTTAAATAAAAAGTGGATGTGTGTTGTTGGAAGTAAAAAAATGAAAGAGAATGTGTTTTTGAGAACAAAGAGAGTATAAAATAAGCTCAAAATTAGAAAATATTACAAAATTACACAATTTTAGTACGGGAAAAAAACTAAAGTAGGAGTAAAATAATGAAAATATTCCAAAATAGGTGTTTCATGTTTTTATTCCCGAAATAGGAGTTAAAATTCATTTACAGTATCAATCATGACCTCGTATATTACGTAAAATGTATATGTACATTGCCACATTATATTACCACATTGAAAACTCCTGTTCAGGAAATAAAAACATAGAACTTCTATTTTAGTACTTTCTTCATGTTTTAGTCTTATCATGGTGATTTCTTTTTAGGACGGCATCTTTTTTCAAACAGGTAGTAGTTAAAGTTTATGTAAAAAAATACAATGTGAACCACTCGTTACTTTCTCTATATAAAAGCAAAATTTTGTGAGACAACTGGAAAAAAAGTATGATAGGGGATGAAGTTGTCTTGGAGAGAGGGGGATAGATATTACGGAGTACTCCGTATATTATTGTGCTACTTATACGCCATAAATGTACACCTATTATTTGTATATTATTGCTTTGCACTAGACACTAGCAAAGCGCTGGTACATACTAGCACAAAATATAATTGCGACAATGACTATCGTACTAGCATTTTGTACTAATGTAGCCTAATTTTAACAGTTGGTCTTTCAAGTTATTGCATTATGCACGGATAGTCTTTCAAATTTGAAAATTTCACAAATAATTCTTCGAGTCATGTTAGCAATGCATTTTGGTCTTTGAACTTTGAAAATTCTACAAAAAGTCCTTCAAGCCACGTTAGCGTTGTATGGTTGGTCCTTCGGTTAATTTTGCCGTTAGTCTGTACGTATTTTTTTATTTTTCATTCAAAATGCATGTAAGACCATTTGTAGAATTTTTAAAGTTAGAAGCGTGCATAACACTAGTAGTATTACTTATTGCAGATTAATTATACTCCATCCGTTCCACAAAACAACTCTTCCCCTTTCGTTTTTTTTAAATTTCCTAAAACACTTCCACTTTCTATTAAAAACCACTTTTGACCTTACTTTTTCATACCCTACCTATCACATCATATTTTTTTTACTAATAAACAAACTATCACATCTTACTTTTATCCATCACATCAGGGATAAAATTAGAAAGTTAACCAAAATTACACTTTTTTTATTTTTGTTAAAAGTCAAAATTGGAAGGGTTTAATGGAACTGAGAGTGTAACTTTTATTCTTGCATACACATACCTACCAATACCAATGCATTTACGGAATCAGTAACGTCAGGTCGATTCCATATACTCCGTATTACATATATACACCTGCTGCTGCGGATTATAATGGGATCCAGGTGGGGAAAAAGAAACATATACTCCGCAGTTAATAATTAATAATGGCGTATAGCGGCTACGGTGGTCAGCGGGGAGGAGCCGCCGGGCTGATTATTATTATTGTAATGCATTTGGTTATTAGTTTAATAATCGTCATCAATTCCGCCAATGCTGATGGTAATGGAGATTTTAATGACGAGTGGCTCCCAGCTCATGCCACCGCCTATGGAGGAGCCAATGATTCCCACACAATGGGTAATTAATTAATCCTCATTTACAATTAATAATGCAGATTAATTATAGTATACTGTATATTATTCGTCCTCCTATCTTGATTTTTTTATATATTATTCGTCCTCCTATCTTGATTTTTATGTTTGTTTTGATCATAAATTACGAAAAAATGAGTTTGAATATAATGTAAGTTTTAGGTAATTGGTTTGTTATAAGATACGGAGTATAATTCTGATATATTAAATTTTTTTAATATTTATTTAGTTAAAGTTAGGGGAGTTTAGCTAGACAGTATTAAAATATAGTGACTTTCCCAATGTAATACCATATGTTTTTATTTCTCAATATAGTACCACTATTCAATATCCAGTGAATATCCAGCGCCACTGGACGTTATTCAAACTAGATGTCCACCATCATTGGATATTATTCCTGTCACTAGACATTATTCAAATACTATTTAGGAAAAAAAATTTAATACTCCACCCGTCCTTGACTATTTGTCTACTTTTGACTTTTTTAGTCAAGTAGATAAATATTTTATTATAAGTCAAAAGTTAAAAACAAGTTTATTATTTATCAAAACTAGTTTTATTTTGACTTTTTCTCATTTTTAAGATCGCCCATATCATCTCCGCCAGCCCCACCAATCATTGAACATCACAGAATTTACTTACCTGGCGAAAAGAACCTCCCAAGACCGTAGATATATGAGGAGGTGAAGTTCAACGACCAAAACGTCAAACCCGCCCATCCCCTTCATCAATCCCCTCATTTCGTAAATCAAGGAGGCTCTCTGATCCGTGGGTAGCTTAAGTTTCACGCAGATCTAACTTGGAAAACGGATGAGAAAGAAGCAAAAAAGAACAGAAACGTGGCGGGGGTGAAGAGAGAAATTGAGAGGAGAAGATGATGTATATGATGGTTAGATCTGATCAAAAAAAGGAGGGAAAAAGAAGAGGAAAAATGAGGAAAAGAAAGGGTGGGAGAGAGAGAGAGATGGATATGGCAGAGAAAAAGGCAAGAAAGAAAGAAGAAGGAGAAGATGGAGGAGGAGGAGGAGGAGAAGAAGAAGAAGAAGGATCTGGCAAAGAAAAGGGCAGGGAAGAAAGAATAAGAAAAAGATGGAGGAAGAGGAGGAGAAGAAGAAAAAAGATGAGGAAGAAGAAGAAGAATAAGAATAAGAAGAGAGGATCGGAGGAGGAGGCCGGAGGAGGAAGAACAAGAAGATAACTCGAAAAGGTGTGGAAACCGGAAAAGAGATCAGGGAGAAGATAAAACATCATTTCTGGATGGAGGGAGTATTTAATTTATGGTCAAAGTTAGCAAAAAAATAATCAAACCAAAATGAATAATTTGGGACGAAGTTAGTATAATTAATTTTGGGTACGTTAAGGAGGTTTCTCCCATACCGAGAAAAAACAAAAATAAGAACAATATATAAGTCTAAAAGATTCTCTTTTAATTATATCGTCAATTGATTTTAGGATAAAATATTCATGTGCTTGTGTGTTGGGCCTATCACGTAAATGCATACGAACCTACATGTGCCCCCTCGTGCAATGTCTGGTCCACCAAATTTTATCATGAATTTGTAACCATACATACATTGGACCGGTTGCGTTGACATGGTGTTACGATGACATTGTTTAATACTGCTCATTTGGGACACTTTCAGTCTTTTGCTCGAAAATTTAATGTCAAAGAAGGGGCGAGGGTGTAGTGGGGTGGCAGGGTCAATGTTTTATTTAGAAAAGTTAGGAGAAGAAACATTAATCCTTTTAATTGAACACCGTAGAAGCCTAAGTGGACACCAGCCAAAGCAAGGTTCATTTGATTAGTTACCTACATACACAATATGATGACTATGTTTGGGAAATGATTTTTCTGCAACATTTAGCTAGCTATTTGAATGCAATTGGTTAGTTAAGTAGTTAAACGACCAATAAAACAGCTAATTCAATCCAACATTCCAATCAGCTAACACAAAGAGCTTGAACCAATGACGAATTGCTAATAACCAAACAAGGCCAATAGGTAAATAAAGGTTTAAAAAATGTGTTCTTTTTTTTAGTCTCTCTTAAGATGTATGGATGTAGCTAGGTATCTCCACACACCATTGATGAATTCTTTGTCAATCAGCCTCTAGGCCACCTTGATGAAAGAGTACTTCAGATTTACTTTTCTGATCCTAAGATTTTTGGAGTGAGATCTTTAGAACATAAAATTAGTCCTAGGCCAAATAAAAAACCTAATTAATGTACAAAAAACTCATATGCACTATATATTAGGAATTTTTAGTGCTATTCACTACTCCCTCCGTCCCCCTAAGATGTTCTCATTTTGACTTTTGGTGGTTTTAAGGAGAGTTAAAAAAAGGTGAAAGTGTATGGGAGACGGAGGGAGTATATTACAATGTAGTATTTGCTCATATTTTTCTCAACCTAATCACGCACAAAGAGTCGACGCTTCCGCCTTCATAAGGGCTTGAACCTGATGAACTTCTCTATGAATCTAGAATAGTGTGCTTCTTACCAATCAAGTCAATAGAGAAGTTCATTCCACTATTAGGAATATTAATCATTATAGGAAATAGAATATATCTCGGAGTATTATTACTTTCCTATTCTATTGCAATCATAAATAACATACTCAACTCTAAGGGCCTGTTCTTTAGGACTGTAAAAAAGAGTTGGATGTTGGAAGAAACTGGAAAAAACTAGAAGGAACTGGAAGAAGCTGGAAGGAACTGGAAAAAACTGGAAGAAACTGGAAAAAACTGGAAAAAACTGAAAGGAACTGGAAGAAACTGGAAAAAACTGAAAGGAACTGGAAGAAACTGGAAAAAACTGAAAGGAACTGGAAGAAACTGGAAAACCTAAAAAAAATTTAAAAATATTTATTTTAAATTCTTGTTGTTATAAATTATTATTATTATTATTATTATTATTATTATTATTATCATCATCATCATCATCATCATCATCATCATCATCATCATTATCATTATCATTATCATAATCATCATCATAATTAGAATCATCACGTTATCTTAGTGAATGTCTTTAAGATATAAAAAAAGTATTGTTATTTTTTAAATACAAAAAACTACTTTTACAAAAAATAATTATAATATAAAGTTAGCATAAATATAAAAATATTAAATTTTAAAAAGGTTGTCTAGTTATATTGCACCTCAATTTATTTATGCAGTATTAATCATAAATAATATATTTGTAATTATAATTTATATATTAAAACATTTTGTTTTAAATATCATACATGTCACATAATCAAACCTATTGTTTCTTTCATGATTAACATTTTATTTCATTGAATTCCTATTTTTGGAATAAAGACATAGAACTTTTTTGTTTACATTTTTTATGTTTTACTCATATTTTAGTCCTTTTCTCTAAGCTCTTTTGACTTACAATTTTTTTATAAAAATTAGAAAAATGAGCAATTTTTAAGTAATAAAAGGAAAAACTGAGATATTTTATAAAAAGTTATGTTAATAAAACATTTAATTTAACTATTTTATCCATAATTTTTTAGTATAATTTAACATATTGATGTTTTCCTGTTTTATCATGTAGACTAATATACAAAAAAATGTCATATTCATATTAAAAAGTTGGAGAAAAAAATAATAAGTGTGAATCGTAAAAATAGTGAGTTGAAAAAAATAATTTATAAACTATAGTTATGAATATATAACACTTGTAATAGTAATAATAATAATAATAATAATAATAATAATAATAATAATAATAATAATAATAATAATAATAATAATCACATTGAAATATATCATTTTTAGAGTAATTGGTTGAGGAGTAGAAAGAATTTGAAGAAAATGAGAAAAGTTAGAAGAAACTGGAAAGAACTGGAAGAAACTGGAAGGAACTGGAAGAAACTGGAAGGAACTGGAAGAAACTGGAAGGAACTGGAAGAAACTGGAAGGAACTGAAAGAAACTGGAAGGAACTGGAAGAAACTGGAAGAAACTGGAAGAACTGGAAGAAACTGGAAGAAACTGGAAAAAAATGGAAGAAACTGGAAGGAATTGGAAGAAACTAGAATTTAAGAGTTCAAGCCCTAAAGAACAGGCCCTAATTAGGATGGACTCTCTATGCATTTTCTATATATAGTAATAAAACTTTAATTAGTTAATAAGACTAATTATTATCAAACTATAATTTTAAAGTTCAACAACTTTAATTTAGTTAAAACCAACACTCAATACCATGCCGTTTAGTTAATGGGTTAATGCTTAAATATAAAAAACCCAAATAGCAGCTCTTGTTCTCTAGCTCTAAGCCGACTCAACCCAATAGTCTTCTTCGCAAAATCGCAGTGACCAAGTATGATTTTAATTCTCTATCCTTATTAGGATCAAATTGAAATCCTCTTTGTGCTACAGGTTTTTTATTGAATGTTTTTAATGTTATTTTAAATTTCTGATTTGCTTGTTATTTTGTGAGATTGGTTATTATTTATGCTTTGGTCTTGATTACAGTTTTTATTCTATTTAGTTAAATTTTGTTCATTTGTTTTTTATTAAATACTCCGTATTTGATAAAATAAATTATTTTTCTCATCTTTTTGAGAAAAATTTGGGGCAAAGGTTATATTTCTTCATTTTAGATAGTAAACGGAGTATTTCTTACTCCCTTCGTCCGTCCCTGAAAACACTTCTCCTTTCTTTTTTCATCCGTCCCAGAAAACACTTCTCATTTTTATTAAAACGTCATTTTTACCCCTTACTTTTTTTATACCCTACATATCACATCATGCCTTTTTACTAATAATCTATCCATCAAATCATACTTTTACCCTTCACATCAAAGGACATTTTTGGAAATTCAATACCAAAATACACTCCCTTAAAATCCATCTTTAAAATCAAAACTCTCATGTTTTTCGGGACGGAGGGAGTATTTTATTATTATTACCATTGTTATTTATTCTATTATCGAATTGTACGTATGATGCAGGGAGGGCGTGTGGGAATGAGAAGCCAAGTAAAGAATGGCATGGAAGGGATAACATTGCAGCAGTAAGCGGCGCATTGTTCAATAATGGGAGCTCTTGCGGGCAATGCTACCAGATCAAATGTGTGAGTCCCGGATTGTGCAGACTTGGCAGTCCATCTGTCACCGTTATGGCCACCGATCTTTGCCCGCCAAACTATGCGGCTCCTCCTAGCGGCGGCGGCTGGTGCAACCCTCCACTCAAACACTTTGCCGTGGCACGGCCTGCTTGGTTAAAGATTGTGATGAATTTCGAAGCCGGAATCATTCCCGTAAATTTTAGAAGGGTACAGTGCAACTAAAGAGACTAGAGGGCTTGCCCTAATACTCCTGTTAAATCTATCCGAATGTGTTTTGAACTACTCCGTACTAATTAATACCCATATACTCCCTACGTCCCAAAAAGATTGGTACATATTGACTTTTTGGGAAATTAAGGAAGAGATATTTTGATGTCGACTTTCCAAAAATACCCTTGATGTGATGGATAAAAGTAGGATGTGATGGTTAGATTACTAGGAAAAAGGTATGATGTGATAGGTATGGTATGAAAAAGTAAGGGGTAATAGTGGTTTTTTAATAGAAATGTAACAAACTTTACGAGACGCAGTTTTTTCGAAATGTATCGGACTTTTTGGGACGGAGGGAGTACTATATATTGTCTTTATCCGAATGTTTTTTGAACTACTAATAAATACTCGCATATTGGCCAAATAGCGCGGCCGGTACCCCTCGTGGTTTGCAAAACAAGTACTAATACCCCCTATGTTTTCAAAACTCATTTCTAAAATTTTTGTGATTTCAAAATGCTGCACCCGTACCCCCTCTGATCATTTTCCAGTCATTTTTCCGGCGAAGAGGGGGGCATTGGTGCGTGTTTTTTAAACCATAGGGGATATCAGTGCTGCTTTTTATTTCTTGCATAGTTTTTGTTTTTTCCTTTTTTGTTTCATACTCCCTGGGTTCTCAAAAACACTTCCTCTTTCATTTTTTTCACTTCTAACAAAATACTTCCACTTTCTATTAAAAAACCACTTTTACCCTTACTTTTTCATACCCTACCTATCACATCATACTTTTTCTCTAATAATCTATCCATCACATCTTACTTTTACTCATCACATCAAGGGCAAATTTGGAAATCAACTGTATAATTTAACACTTCCTTATTTTTGCCCCAAATCAAAATGGGAAGTCTTTTTGCAAACGATTTACACGTTTCAAAAAGAAATAGAAAAAAGTTTCTGTAACACCCTAATCCGTCCAGGTCTGCAGCCTCTTTCGGAATAAAGTATACCTTGCTAATCGTAAATATTTTACCAAATTTAGTCACCGAACTTCATGTAAATTATATATGAATGTTCTATAAGATTCATAGATCAGTTTGATATCATTAATTCATAGTTTGTATATACATGCACTAGCTAATTGCTTTGATTTTGCTTACATAAATTTAATTATTAAACGGGTTTACTTCTACTCTCGACCCGACAAATAACAAAGCTTGTTGGAATTAATAACAGAAATGAAAAGAAAAATTAATTAAGTTACAGCAGGATGGGCCCATGGCTATACATAATAATCATGGTATTTCCAAACTTGAGAGCAACACACAAACAAAATCATTTGTCATTTGGTCTACGTTTTATCTAAAACTCCCTCTGATCTCTCTCTCACCATATTTGTTTAATTTTGATTTTCCCCATGCAGTTTATTAGATAAAAAATACAGAGTATATGATACATTAATTAGATAAAATAGTATTTTGAAAATAATTTATTAGATAAATAGTTTGCTAAAATCATTAATGTATCAATATTTTATCCCCATTTTGTTTTCCGTCCGAGAGTATGTGTCAAGTTTTGAGTTTTTCCAGTCAATTATGATTAACCATTGATATATACTACGTATAAAACGAAATTATATGGTATACGTCTACGCCCCAACCCTAGACCCACTTTTTACCCCCTCCGAATATGTAGTTATTATTTCAACTAAACATCGTAAAACGAAACACACGATTTCTATTTGGACGGATGGAGTACATGGATGAATATTACTCCCTCTGTCCCGGAGTATTCGTCCAGTTTTGACTTTTGGAAATGTTCATCTAAGCACTTTGACTCATCAAATTCTCTCAATGTGTAAGCGTAAATATAATCATGTGTGATCTTTTTTGATTTGTCTTAACATATAGATTATTAATATATAATTTCTATAATTTTTTAATATACAAATTACAAGATAAAATGGATTAAAGAAGTGTATTGGATGATATTTAAAAACGAAAGTGGACAAATACTCTGGGACGGAGGTAGTATTTAGAGTAAATTCCATAATTGGTCCTTTATAACAGGGAGTTTCCATATTTAGTCCTCTATTATCAAATATTACCTCCGTAGTCTTTTTTTAAAGTGCGCCTTTAAACAAATGGTCCTTTTTTAATCTTCTGTCATGTTGGTGTTAATTTAAAGGCTAAAAATATAATTTGACATCAACATTATGTTTAGTGATGTGTTCTGATATTGGTTAAGCGAATAACACAAAAATAATGACTATGATTGTGGGCTAGAATTCCAACGAAAGACCACATTTGTAGACTATGGTTGTAGTAGAAAGCGACTGTAATTCACAAACGACGCAAATCGAACAGCCTTTGGAATTGTGTATGACAAGAAAGACATATTATCATTGTGAAATTACACTTTTAGCCCTCAAATTAACACCAACATGATTGAAGATAAAAAAAGGACTATTTGTGGAAGGATACCCATAAAAGAAGGATCACTGAGGTAATAATTGATAATAGAGGACCAAATAGGGAAACCTCCATGTTATAAGGGACCAATGATGGAATTTACTCTATTATTTATGTATTTACATATTTCTTAAATTACTAATCCTAGAAAGTCCATACTAATCACTCTTCTACAAAAAAAAAAGAAGTAGAAAAGAAACAGAACGTACACCCAATTTCAAAACCCAATTAATCACAAATTAGTTAATTGGAATGGCATTTAATTTTCAAATCCGGAGTAATTATTAGCAAATAAAGCAATTACTGATTGCTTCACGCAATTAATAATTAAGAAGGGCTTCTAATTATATTCTTGTTTGGGTTAATATTTCTCATGGTTATAAGGTTCAATAGGTTATAAATTAAATTACTCCGTAGTAAACACAAATTCATGGGTTTAATTTTCTTTGGCACATAGTAACCCTAGTTGCACAGAGAGCTCCCAAAAATAATGGTTCGCTTTTTTGAAAAAGAAATTTAATACTTTGTGCAATTAACTACGGAGACCGGAGTATATTTCAGATGAGAATAAAGAATATTCTAGAAAATGATTATGTACAATGAGTATTTAATGAAACCGTTACGGGTGATCCCATCTTTATAACTAGTGTGTCTCTTCATTGTGTTGTATCAATGGTAGCAAAACCAACTCGATATGGTAGTCTGGTGAAACTAGTCGTGACCAACAAGGAGACATCAAACCTTATAGGGGGTCTAATGTTAAGGATGATTTCCTCGTAAGAGTCCCACACATGTCAAATGGGGGAGCTGAGGAGGGATGATTTATATAGCTTAGGATTCTCTAATCTTAATAACTAGCTTTTTATGTGTGCCTCTCTCTAGTGTTGCATCAGAAACTTGTTAATTAATTAAAATCTAAAATCTCATTCAGAATAAGAAAGAGTAAAAAAATACGCACTTCTTACATTTATTCAACAATTATCTTCTTTCCCATTTAGAGTGTCCTGAAATTTTATTCTTCTTTCATTAGCTTCTAAATAAACAAATATGTAGTTCATATCTGGTCTCTTTCCCTACACAAACCATAAAGACGCATATTCTACATTTTTAAAAGTCATGTTAAGTCAAACTTAAAAGATAATTATGGAACGAAAAGACTAATATATACGGAGTATAAGAATAAGAGCTATTTCTTACATTGTGAATTTGTTTTGCTAGGAATGAATTGGATAGTGAAATATTGCAAAGATAAGTTGTTATAGAGTGTATGGACATAAGAACCATGGAAGTGTTTTCTGTGTAAAGAAAGTAAAATGAAAGAGAATTACTTTGTGAAACAACAAAAATATTACACCCATGAACATTTTTTCTACTCCAAATATATTTATTATACGGAGTATTAGATTACTTATGTTTTTAAGGAAAAATTACTTATTCTTTGAGTCTTAAAAAGACTACCACAGTTTGAATTTTTAAGTTAAACTGTGCAATACTTCAACCACAAATTTTAAAAAATGTATATTTAGTTTTAATGTAAATATAATAAATTAGATTCACTTTAAATTTTAGTTACATTTAGTTTGTGATGAAAGTGTTGCATGGGTTAACCAACCTATCACATCATATGTATTCACTATTATTCTACTTATCACATATAATGATAAAATTGAAAAGTTTACTACAAACTCCTTAAATTTGTTAAAAGTTCAAAACAACTCTTTTTCAAAGGGAGTATTTTCTTTTAGTTATATGTGAAATTTGGACTAAATATAACCAAAACATAAGTTATTTTCCAATGTAAGACTTAAACTTTTTTATTTCCTAAATAAGACTTAATAATGTCTAGTGAGAAGAATAATGTCCATTGATGACCAATGCTCCTATATTGAGAAATAAAAACATATGGTCATATATTGGGAAAGTTATTATGTTTTAATCCTATTTAGGTAAATTATCTAATTATATTTGTTGCAATACATCATTTTAAACTTCTCCCTCTGTCTGTTAACTTATTTCTCACTTTCTTTTTGTGCAGTGCCAATACAAAACGAGGAAGAAATTTTTAGACGGAGGAGTATGAATAATTGTATATATCCATTAAATAGTTTATACTCCGTATGTGGAAAAGAAATTCTAGAGTCACAAACAAAATGTCATAAAAATCACAAACTTATCACATTCTCACAAAGAAGAAAACACAAACATTTAAAAAGAAAAAAAAAGAAAAAGTTAAGAAATCATAAATTAAAAGAGGTATTTGTAAATTTTGTGATGTTACTCTAACATCTCTTTAGGTGGATTATTATTTAGGATGGAAGCGAATGCAAAACCGAGTTAAACAGTAAACCTGCACGTGGGGAAATAAATCAAGAAATGGTTACTTAGCTCACTACATATAAATAGAGAGGCACTTGTTTAGTTTCCAATTCATCCATAGGAACACATTTATTAATTAATAATCAAACTGCTAATATCATCAATAATCAAATAAGCATGAAGAGATTAATCTGCATGCTAATTGCCTCTTTGTCCCTCTCCCTTTTCCTCGTACCCAGCAGCGGAGAGTTCTCTGCAGCTAACAAATACCCTAACAATACTACTACTACTACTAAGAAGAACGACAACAATGGAGTTTATATCGTCTACATGGGCGCCGCTGCCCGGACGAATGAGGCTCACGCTGAGCTCGTCGCCTCCGTCACTGAGAGCGACGCGCTGGTGCACACCTACACCAACGGGTTCTCGGGCTTTGCGGCCCGTTTAACCGAGGAAGAAGCCCGGTCCATCGCTCGGAGGCCCGGTGTTCTGTCCGTTTTTCCCGACCCGGTTCTCCAAGTCCATACCACCCGGTCATGGGATTTCTTGGAATCGTTTTTGCCGCCTCTACAATCTCCATTGTCATCAAGCTCGTCTACTTCATCTCCATCAACCGACACCATCATCGGCTTCCTGGATACAGGTCAGTCAATAACCTACCCAAATTTTCATCTGTCAGTGTATTCGTCCAGTTTGACTTTTTCAGACTGAACGAACAGACTGAGGACTGAGGGGGAATTGGTGTTATTATATACTCCTCTCCATCCAATTGTATTAAAATGTGACATTGGTAAGATAACAAAAACGTAATGAAGCAATTGTATTTTACTCACACTAATTAAGTAATTACACATATATGTTTATATTAGGGATTTGGCCGGAATCTCCTAGTTTCAATGACTACGGGATGGGACCCATCCCGCCACGCTGGAAAGGAATTTGCCAGGATGGATATGATTTCAATGCTTCCCTCTCTTGCAATAGGTATTTTAATATTGTACTCTGTTTTTTTCCCTTACATAAATGACCATTTCAGTTATTTTTAAAAAAAGAATTAGTACTATAGTACTCCTTATTAGTATATTTTTATTGATTTTGGTTGTGAAACTATTTGTTTGTTTCAACTTTCAACACGTGAAGGAAAATAATTGGCGCGAGATACTACCCAGAGTCAAAGAGGGTTGCACGGAGAGGGTCGGCGAGAGACCACTTCGGGCACGGGACCCACGTTGCCTCCACGGCGGCTGGGTCCCTGGTCGAGGGAGCGTCTTACCACGGCGTGGCTTCAGGGACGGCCCGAGGCGGGTCCCCTTCCTCGAGGATCGCAATGTACAAAGTGTGCGACGAGTACGGAATATGCATGGGGTCGGAGATACTCAAGGGGTTCGATGATGCCATCAAGGACGGAGTTGACGTGTTGTCGGTGTCTCTCGGTAGTGGGCCCGGTGGCGGGACGAAGCCCAATTTCGTGGAGGACCCAGTCGCCTTTGGGTCCTTTCACGCGGTCGAGAAAGGCATCGCCGTCGTCTGCTCTGCCGGGAACAGCGGGCCCTTCCCCGGTAGCGTTGAAAACGAAGCTCCGTGGGTCCTCTCCGTTGCCGCCTCGACTCTCGACCGACGCTTTGAGTCGCCGGTCGTCCTTGGGAGACGCAATAAAGTCATTATTCAGGTGACAAATAAAATAAGAAATATTTGCACCAAAATAACTCGTCAGAATATAAAAACGTTTTCTGAGCTTTGTTGACCGGGGAAAATGTATGTGTATGGCAGGGGGGAGGCATTCATTATGGGAGACTGAGGAAAGGAGCGGCGTACGGGTTGGTTACGGGGGCATTGGCGAAGAAGAATAACGCGAGCGAGAGCAATGCAAGTGCGTGTTTTCTGAGCGCATTGGACCCGGCCAAGGTGAAAGGGAGAATCGTGGTCTGTGAGGGGGGATTTTCACTGCCGGTCGAAGCGGCGGAGGTGGTGAAAGCCCTCGGCGGCGTTGGAATTATACAAATAGTTAACAATGGTGATTTGTTCATGGCCCCGCAGTATAATGCTTTATCCGGCTCTACTGTCTCCCAGGCCCAAGCCGCCCAAATTTTCACATACCTTAACTCCACCAGGTAATTTTCTTACTAACCGTGATCGATATTTAACCAAAAATTAAATACAAATTACAAGGTATATTAATTAGACTAAATTATATTTTGAAAATATTTTATAAGGCAAATCAAATAAAAATATTCTTGTATCAATATCTAATACTATAAATCAATAATCAAAGTTTATTAATTTGATTGCGGAAAGTCTAAACTAGACAAATACTTTAAAACGGAAGTAGTATTATACGGAGTTTTTAATAATCTACACCCTATAAATTAATTAATTATAAGTTGATTTATTATTATTTTTAATAATAATTATAGTGAGTAATAATAATGATGATGATAATAATAATACGTTGTCGTTTATAACATTGATATTGCAGGGACCCAGTTGCAACAATTCTCCCAACTGGAACAAAAATAGGATACCAACCAGCTCCAGTGGTGATCTACTTCTCATCAAGGGGGCCTGCCAGGACTAGTGTCAATATTCTCAAGGCATCTATTTCTTAATTTATGCAATCTATATAAATTAATGGAATAATAAATAATTAACTACTCCGGATTAATTAATTAATTCATTAATTGAAAATTTGATGCATGCATGCATGCAGCCGGACATAACTGCACCGGGGGTTGACATTCTAGCAGCTTGGCCATCCCCCAGCAAGAAACTTCCCGGTTACAACATAATCTCCGGCACTTCCATGTCATGCCCCCATGCCTCCGGTGTCGTTGCCACCATCAAAGCACGCCACCCGACGTTTAGCGTCTCCGCTATCAAATCTGCCATTATGACCACAGGTAACTCTCACTTTGAATACGTACTTTTTAGTCTCTAATACTCTCCCCGTCCCAAAAAATCTGTCATGCTTCGAAAAATTTGCGTCCCTTAAAGTCCGTTCCATTTCTATTAAAAAAATCACTTTTATCCCTTACTTTTTCAAACCCTACCTATCACATCATACTTTTTTCCTAATAGTCTACCTATCACATTCTACTTTTACCCATCACAAAAAGGATATTTTTGGAAAGTCAACACAAAATTATTCTTCCTTATTTTACCACTTTAGTCATTATGTCCCAATCTTTTTGGGACGGGGGGAGTATAACACTTTGACCATTAGTATTTCTGTTTGCGTAACTATAAATGTTTCTTATATCGGGCTCGTTACGTGCAGCAACACAGACGAACAACATGGACGCCCCGATAACAACCACGTACAGGTCGGCCGCGACGCCGTACGACATCGGCGCGGGACAACTCAACCCGGCCTCGGCACTGGACCCCGGGCTCGTGTACGAGACCCGGACCGAAGACTACGTGACGTTCCTGTGCGCGACGGGCTACAACACGACGCAGATCCGGCTCATCTCCTCGACGGTCCCGAAGCACTTCCGGTGCCCCGAGAACTCGTCCCCCGAGGCTTCGATCTCGAACGTCAACTACCCCTCGATAGCCGTCTCGAGGCTGAGAAAGGGCGAGACGAGGACCGTCACGAGAACGGCGACCAATGTCGGGGACGACGAGGACTCGGTGTACGTCGCGACAGTAGAGGCGATGGCGGGGATCGAGGTGGGGGTGACCCCGAACGAGTTGGTGTTTAGTAGAGGGAGAAAGAAGGTGAGCTACAGTGTGACTCTCACTGCTATGGCAACAATGGAGAAGGACGTGTTTGGGTCAATCACATGGAGCAATGGGAAGTATGATGTGAGGAGTCCAATTGTTGTGAGTCATGAGTCCGTCTTCTTCAATTAAGTTTATGAAAAATAGTCGTAAATCAATAATAGAATAAAGGATGAAACGTCATATTGTACGGAGTAATATATTTTAAACCATGTTTTTTTTAATTTGAACGGCTATTTCATTTCTTTTAGTGGAGAAGACGTGTTTGTTATAATTATTTCCAGTGTCTCTTAAAAAGATTAAGTCATTAAGGTATGAAGATAGAATTACCATACATATTTGGGTATATAAATAGAATTGGGAGAACTTATTATTCTTCATTAAAATTATGAATATATACATTATATAGATACCGATAACAACTTCAGATAACAACTTCGAAAGATAGTCTGAGGTAGATAATAAGAATGAGGCCGGTGGGTTTAACAAAATGAGGAATAATATGGCGAACATTTACTTGAATAATGACTTATGTATAATTACTAAAATTGCTACATTGAATTGGAAAAAAACCACATGTGATGCTATTAAGGAAGAGTCATTATGTTTTAGTGCTATTTACGCAAATTCTCCAAATAATAAACCTAAAAACATAAAATACGATTAAGTAATACAAACATACAAAAACTCAAAATAAAAATAAAGAAGGAAACCAAAAAACTTAAGAAACAGAAAAAAATCAAAAAAAAATCAAAAAAAAAGAAAAAATAGTTAAAAACTAAAAATAAAAAAAGGAAAGAAGTAAGAGATGAGAAAGGAAAAAAATAGACCACAAAAGTCAACGGGAAAAATATCGACATCAGAAGACAATAAATATAGTTTTAAAATAAATGTTTTAAAAATTTAACTACATCTTAAAATAAATTCAATTATATTAAATTCACATTATAACTAAAAAAATTATTCGTCCCAAAAAAACTTCTCATTTGAAAAGATATATGATGTAATAAATACTCCGTATGTGATTTTGGTACTGTGTTATTACAATATAATTTTGCCCTTTATAGTACAGTTAGATTAGTAGTGAAAAAATATGATATTATGATATTATATGATTGACAGATAATAGATTAATAATTAGTATGAATAAAAAGAAGATTTTGATTAAAAAAAGGAGTGTTCTTTGAGACGAAAGAAAATTGAAAATAGAAAAATTTTTAGAAAGAGAGAGAGAATATATTTTTTTTTATAATTTGTTATCAAATTTTATAAAACCTGATCAAACATTTACTTGTACTCCGTAGAAAGAAAACTTTTATATGAGACGAAGTAATAAAAACAGAATATTTTTTTTAATAAAAAAAGGGGGTCTACAACATTTCTTTCTACTTTAAATAAATTTTAGTCACTCATTTTTTACTATTCAACATCTTTTCGATCGATAGTTTTCAAATTAAGAATTTCTTTTTCTATTTTTCTATTTTGAGGCATATATATGGAGTATTTCTTTACGGTGGGGGCAAACAATATTATGGAGTATATCATGTCATAATTAGTGTATCACAAATTTTGCCGGCCACCGGTCCAACTAAGATCAACTCCTACACCCACATATGATCCCAGTAAGCAAATGCTATTGAGATGAACATTTTGCCTTCTTTTATTTAGAAAACCAACTTTTTTATATGTAAGAAAGAGCAAAAAATTACTCTTGGGTACCCTCAGTTTTGTGATAAGAACTACCGGGTACCCTTATTTTAAAAATATACTCACAGGTACCTTTTATTATTTGAAAACTTACTAGCAGGGCCCTTCCGTCAATTGCTCCCTTACTCCGTTAGTTTCTTTTTTTACCATCATCATCCACATTCGTTCATCTTCTTCCTCCTCCTCCTCCACATCATCATCATCTTCTTCTTCTTATCCTTCTCCTCCTCATTCCAATCCAGACCCCCTACTCCTTCCCGGAAATCAAGGAGTAGTCACCGCATGACTTTCCAAAAATCGCTCAATCCCTGATAAAGACCTTCTTTCTTCTTCTTCAGTATATATTGACCTCCGCAAGGGTTGATGAAGGCCGACAAAATTCATTTCCTGCCGAAACAGCCCCCGGCGTCAAATTCGGCTAATACTCCGGCTACGATATCGTCGACCCCCGCACCGGAAGGTCACTCTTTTATTACCTGGCTGAATCGCCCCACAATTCCTCCGCCAAGCCTCTGGTCCTGTGGCTCACCGGAGGTTTGTGCCCGAATCGAATTCTATAGCTTCATTTAGCATAAATTTTTTCTGGGTTTGCTTAAATTTTTAGCTAAATTGATTCTTTGTTAGATCTAAGAGCTTTCGAGAAGTGATTGTTCATGGTTGATTTGCAGGACCCGGATATACAAGCCTTGATTCTTCAAGATCGGACCTTACAAAGTCTGTAGCAATGGAAAAACTCTGTACATGGATGAACATGACTTCTTCATCTCTGCCCTTCAATAATTTCTCCTACCCCATGCAACAAAATTTCTCCCTCCATTCCCATAATTCCATTCAACCAACGCACCAGTAGTTGACACAGAGTACATGGAAAGTCAATCGGATCAATGTGGCAACGTAGAAGAACAAGAAGAGAAAGAAGAAGAATAAAGAGGAGGAGGAAGAAGAAGATAACGAATTGAAGAATAAAGAAAAAGAAGATGATGATGATTATGTGGATAATGATGAAAAAGAAGAACAAACAAACAGGGGAATTGACGGAAGGCCCAATTGGTAGATTTTGGAATAATAGAAGGTACCGGGCAGTATATTTTTAAAATTAGGGTACCTCGTAGTTCTTATCGCAAAACTAGATGTACCTGGTAGCAATTTTTTGTAAGAAAGAGAGCCCACGATTTTTTTTTTTTGCAGACTTTAAGTGCATCATAGAAGCACTCCACTCTTCTTCCGCTAATTTTCTCTCCCATCTTGTTACTAAAAATAAACTTCAAATAATTATTATTATAGAACTGTCATAATAATAATAATAGTAATAATAAATAAAATATACAGAGTAATAAATAAAATAAAAAAAAGCAAATCAAAATAATGTTTAAAAAAAAATACTCCATCCAATCTTAAAAACCTTTCTTGTTATATAAGTTTAATAAAATTGGGTTCATCTTAAGATACAGTTTTGATATATAAAATTTTTATATTATTTATTTGTTAGATTATGTTTAATTTATGGTCTAAAAGTGTCACTGTTTGACAAAAAAGTCAAAACATGAAAGGTTTCTAGGACCAGAGGAAGTAATAAAAATAAAATAATATAAAATAAAATAAAAATAAAAAATATATTCTGTAATTATAAAATACCAAAATTATTATTATTATTATTATAAATGAATAAATAAAAGTATTAAATTATAAAAAAAATATAATTGAAAATAAAAATATAAATTAAGAAAAAGTAAATAAATAAGTAAATAAATATATATTGATAATGATAATACTCCGTAATAATGATAATAATAGTGATAACAATAAGAATAATAATAAAAATAATAGTTATAATAATAGTAATAATAACAATAATACTACTAATATTAATATTATTAATATAAATAAAAAATATATATAATTAAATGAATAAATGGAATTAATAAATATATTGAAATAAATAATAAATTCATAAATAAATAAATAAATAAATATGTAAAATAAAAGTTTTAAATATAAAAAATAAAACAAAAAATGAATGATTTCCGTCCATTCTTCCAACGAATCACGGTAAAGGAAGGTCCTCACATCCTTTCCTTCCCCTCCCCTCCCCACCCCTCCCCCAACCAAACGGGCCTTAAAGCTCAATTTATCTCTTTTCATATCACTTCCGACCGGTTTTAAGAGGGCCCTCGGGGATAAAGATCAATTCTTTTTTTTTCTGGCAATGGTCACAAGCTAAGTCACAACCCACCACTCCATCTCATCATTGGAGCGAAGAAATAAGAGATTTCCCACTTTGGGTGGATATTGAGTTGCCCACTTATATTCTTTATTACTTTTATCCCTCTGTCAGGAAAACATCATAGTTTGATTTTCATCAAATTTTATACAAATTATTGAAAAGCAATTTGTTTATGTGAGTGAATTTCAGATTTGTACGTATTTAAGATTTGTTTATTGAATGAATTTCAATAATTTATGCGCTGCATATTTATTCCTTAGAAGAAAATAAAGTGTGATTGTCAAATTAGCAGGGAGCTAGCTACCTTTCATTTGCCGGCTGGTGGGAAATTCACACCCCCCCCCCCACACAAAAAAACCATCCCACCCCTGCCCCTATATATATGTATAATACTTAGTAATAACCCTGTCTAGTGCATGCTCCTAATTTAAACATGAAATTGAGAGTCTTTGTGTTAGTGTGTGTTGTTCTCCTCATCCTCGTATCCTCTCTTATAGGAGAATTGTGTGCTACTAAGGATGTTCGTGTGATGACAGAAAACGGTAACGGAGTTTATATCGTTTACCTGGGCGCTGTTGGGGCAGCCGTGACATCGTTGAATGACGCCGTTAAAAATGATCAGCAAGCAGCTCGCCTATTCAGCTCCCTCCTTAAAGGGTATACATACATTTGTAATTTAGTTGAAGTTTGGAATCCGATAATTAGGAAATGAAACTTGTGGTCTAAAAATTACTCACTCCGTCACATATCTAACCTGTATTAGGAAGAGGAATGCATTGGTGCATAGCTACACAAATGGATTCCTGGGATTCGCAGCCCGGTTAACGGAGGACGAAGCCCAATCCATTGCTCGAGAGCCCGAGGTTGTGTCAGTTTTCCCTGACCCAATCCTCCAACTCCACACCACCCGCTCATGGGATTTCTTGAAGTCCTTCTCCGCTGATCATTCATGGGATAGGCCAACATCATCATCATCATCATCCACTGGAACCGACACCATCATAGGCATCTTGGATACAGGTCATCTTCTGTGTATAGTAATGTGTGGCCTCCTTTTTCTACAAAAAAAAATGTTGTGTGAGGCACATAAAAATATAACCATGTACAAGTTGACCTACTCTTATATGTAGGAATATGGCCTGAATCTGCTAGTTTCAACGATGACGGCATGGGACCCATCACGGCCCGGTGGAAAGGAGCATGCGAAGATGGCATCGATTTCAATTCTACCCTCTGCAACAGGTGCCTATCTAAAAATAAAACACGGAATTGCGCTTAAGTATCATCAAACTTAAATGGATCAGCACTAATAATATTTAGGGAAATGATACATGCACCTCACGCTTACAAAATTTTGAACTACACAGACATGTATTGTTTTGTATGTGTAGTTCAAAATTTTGCATGCAGTGTAGGTGTGACTACATGTACCATTTCCCTGATTTTTATGATCAGGAAAATTATTGGGGCGAGGTACTATTCGGGCTCGGATGAGAGTCAATCAAAAGGGTCGGCGAGGGACCAAAATGGGCATGGGACCCACGTTGCCTCCACGGCAGCAGGCTCCCGTTCCCCGAATGCATCATACTATGGCCTTGCTTTAGGGGTCGCCGATAGTGGTTCCTCGGCTTCAAGAATTGCCGTATACCAAGTGTGTTCCGTTATGGGAGGTTGCCTAGGATCTTACATCTTGAAAGGCTTTGATGATGCTATGAGGGATGGGGTGGATGTGTTGTCACTGTCTGTAGGAGGTGAGGAAGGGATAAAACCGGATTTCTCAAGAGACCCCATCGCCATTGGTTCCTTCCATGCCATGGAGAGAGGTATCGTTGTTGTCTGCTCCGCGGGGAACAGTGGTCCGGACCCGAGCACTCTCGTGAATGATGCTCCGTGGATCTTCACTGTGGCCGCTTCCACTATTGACCGTGATTTCGAATCACGCATTGTTTTGGGAGGGGGTAATAAGAATGTGATTAAGGTGAATAAGCATGAATTGCTTTAATCATTTCAAGATAATGTATGCTAAGGAACCAAACCAAAAGCTCAAACTTGTGGTTGGAGGCTAATGAAATATTTTACTCTAATGATATATGTACAAAACTTTATCTCTTGTGTAGGGCGGAGGCATCCAATTTAGCAAACTTGAGAAAACACCTATGTACCCATTGGTCATGGGAGCCTTGGCTAAATGGGAGAATGCTTCTGAAAGCGATGCAAGGTATTATTATTAGAGTATCCAATGAAGGTTCAAAGATAGTGGATGTATTCACTGATGGGGAGGTTGTGTTCAAATATAGGGAATGCATCGAACACTCGTTAGACCCTGCAAAGGTGAAGGGCAATATCATTCTTTGTGAATACAAACGCATAGGGTACCCTAATATGCATAGGGTGGATGTGGTTCAAGAGGCTGGTGGAGTGGGAATAATAGAAATAGTCAGTGATGACAATAGGTTTGAGGCACCCAAGTTTGAAACTTTTCCAGGGTCTATAGTCACAAAAAGGGAAGCCAATGACATTCTCACATATATTAACTCCACCAAGTAATTATTTACATAGTAATTTGACTTTTCTTGTGTGTTTATAGACCTTATTTATCTATCTACAATGACTTTAATTTTGTTTTTTTGGTTTTTTTGTAAATAATAGGAGCCCAATAGCAACAATCCTTCCAACTGTGACAACATTAGGGTATAAACCCGCCCCAGTTGTGATCTTCTTTTCATCAAGGGGGCCATCTCTTGCCAGCCATAACATTCTCAAGGCATGTGTAACATACTAACATGCATAGCAGATAAAATTGGAAATATAACAAAATTCATGTGCATTTTTTTTTTGAGAAGTGCAGCCAGATATTAGTGCACCTGGTGTTGACATTCTAGCAGCTTGGCCAGACGTTACAGATGATGATTACTTGGGCGGGGCCACAATCCCTGGCATGAACCCTCCCGGTTACTACATACAGTCGGGCACCTCAATGTCCTGCCCGCATATATCCGGAATTGTGGCTTCGGTCAAAGCACACAATCCGACATTTAGTGTATCTGCAATTAGATCCGCTATAATGACCACAGGTAATGATGGAATTTATGGTTAGGTAAGAATCACTCAACTAGCTCATAAGACATTTTGACAAAACCAGAGTAAAAAAATTGAATACAATCGATTATCTAGTTTAACTCAAGGCCGTATTAACCCACTATTCTTTCTGTAGTTTTCCTATGTGAGACAATTTAACAGGTAACAACATAAATTGACCCAATTGAGGTGTGCACCTGATTTTTTCCACAGTATATGTATATATCATTAATAAAAGGCTAAACTTATTGGCCGCAACAAATCCAGTAAAACAAGTACATGCAATTGATTTTTTTCGTTATTCATAAATTCAAGTGCAAGCATTGAAAAAAGTGAGCTACCCAGCGGAGCATTAGTGAATGTAACATCAATCATTACTGACCTCAAATTTTGTTGTGAATCCGCCTACAGCCATACAGAAAAACAATATGAATGCCCCAATAACAACTTCATCTGGGTCAATTGCCACACCATATGACTTTGGGGCGGGACAAGCAAGCCCAGTGGCAGCATTAGAACCAGGACTAGTTTACGAGACTGAGACTGCAGATTACGTGTTATTCCTCTGCGCTACTGGCTATAATACATCCCAAGTTAGGCTCATCTCATCAACAATAACAAAAGACTTTGAGTGCCCCAAAGATCTGTCTCCAGACACGATCTCAAACATCAACTATCCTTCCATAGCCATCTCCAAACTCAATCAGGGCGAAACCAAGACAGTTGCCAGAACTGCGACTAATGTTGGTGATAAGGAAGACTTGGTGTACACCGTGGCTATGGAGGCATTGTCTGGGATAGAGGTGACAGTGACCCCAAACAAATTAGTATTTACTAAAGACAGGAAGAAGGTATCTTACAATGTAACTTTCATGGCTAGATCAACACCAAATAAAGACATCTTCAGCTCAATTACATGGAGAAGCGGTAAGTACATTGCTCGAAGCCCAATTGTTGTAAGCACTTAGTAACACAAAAACACATGTTGCAAGATGACATCTACATTGTTCATAGAAGAATATTAAGAAGATAAATGTTTGGGAATCCAAGAACTGCTTTCATTACTTTAGATCTTATTTAAGTAGCAAGTTTTGTTAGCTTGATACTATTAAGAAAGAATGTGTTTGATGTTTGCATGAATATATATTTGATACTATTACGAAAGAATGTGTTTGATGTATGTATGAAAACATAGGATAGGGTTTTCATATGTATATAGTGAACTATGCATTTGTTCAATAGCCGATGCGAACTTTATTGGAATATTCAACAATGCAATGCACATGAGGTTTGTGCATCAATTTTGTATCTAGTAAAAAAGAATGAACCAGCTACTCCCTGAGAGTCCCTCCCAAGAATGGCGATACAGTAGCCTGGGAGGAGAAAATTTGAGCTTTCTTTTCTTCTCTGAGATATTTCTCTGGAATCAAATCAAGGCATGTGATATTAAATGAATCATTGGTTTTGAGAACTGCAACCGGGTATTACTGCACCTGGAGTTAACATTCTAGCAGCTTACCCTGATGATGATCAATCTGGAAACAATAGTTCTCCAGGTTACAATATAATCCTGGGCACAACTATGTCCTATCCGCAAATATCAGGGCTTGCTGCCGCAGTCAAGGCACACAACCCAATGTTTAGTGTACTGGCAATAAGATCTGCTATTATGACCACATGTAACAATATGTCTTATTCTGATACAAAACCATATGTATGTGTTTGTTTGTTTGTTCATGTATGTGTGTATATACACACTCCCTCCTCCCATAAGGCCAAAACTTTCTTCCCGCTTTGACTTGAAAGACTAACTAAGATATACAAATGTGTGGTTGAGATTTATTAATGAAGGAAAGAACCCATACCGGCCAAAAAAAGAATTTCTTTGAAAGAAAAGGAGAATTCTGTTTTAACAAGTCAAAAAGGAACTAGGAAGAAAATTATGCTACTGAAGGTGTGTGTGAGGGAAAGGCTTGAGGGCCAACCAGAATGAGTATGATATCAGCTTTGTATACAACCACATGGCTCCACGTTTAAAAGAATGAGTTAGCACGACACAATGTACTATTTATCCAGAAGTGCACATCTTAATTCCTACAGAATAAGTTTACGAAGAGACTTTTTTTGAAACCGATAAATATAATAGTGCACATCTAGAATCATAAAAATGGTTGTTTAGTGCATTGGAATCAGACCGGCAGCCATGATTCATGACTACAGGTAACAACAACTATGATTATTGAAAAGCATACTAGTTCTCTCTGCGGATTTCTACTTCCTCCTTATCTGGTGTGTTGTCCTTCTTAAGTTAAATGTTTTGTAAATCATGTCTGGCTTTTTACCTTTGATCTGAGCCAAAGTCTGGCAAGTCAGATCCAGCAATGATTAGCAGATAATCAAAAGGTTGCATACATTAAGAGGGTTAGAGCTTGAGATTCTGTATCTTCGTCATTGGTACAAAAATGATCAAATAAGGAAAGAAATAATCCCTTTCAAAAAATGAGGTAATAGTCTGATACCAGCATGATTAGCATCTCAAATAGAACTCTAATCAATTTCGAATATAGGATTCTCAGCTGCGAGGAGGGAAAACAGCCAAATGCGAGAATATATCTGGTAAACACAAATAGAATGTGCATATTGGTGGAAGAAAACCCTAAATTAAAAACTTTACCGCCAGGTCGAAGAGAGATGATTGGTCGATTTTCGTGAAGCCTGCGTCGAATGCCTCGCGGTCCTCATCCGGGTGAAGAGGAGGCCGTGGGGCGAGAACAGAACCTGGTGAGCTTACCATGATGAATCTCTTGGGTGTGGAATTCATGCCCTCTCAATCTCAAGCTCGATTGATTTTTGGAAATTTCTTATTCAAACTATGAACTTAGGAAGAGTAAATTCCATAAAAGATCGGTCATTTTACATATTTAGTCCCTACATTTCAAAAATTACTAATTTAGTCCCCAATTACTCCGTATTATATTCATTTTCAGGAATGGTCCTTTGTTAAATTTCCGTTAAAAACTTAGATAAAATTATAAATTCACACTCTTTTCTCTCCCCAATTAAGCTCCTCCTCCCCTCGCACTCCTTTCCCAAATCCGTCACGGAGTTTGAAACTTTGAACCCAAAACCGAAATCATCACTCTTCTCTCAATTGTTTGTCTAACTCGTGGAACCCAAATTCAAACCAGTAACCTTAATGGATGAGTTTTAATGTTTATTTCTTTGCAATTTCTTAAGACTCCCTGATAAACTCATCTAATAAAGCTTATTGAATTTAATTTTAGGTTCCACTAGGAAGACTAATAATTGAGTGAGGAATGATCATTTTGGCGACGAGTTTGGGAAATAGTACGAGAGGAGGGATGAAGCTTAATTGAGGGGAGAGAGAAGTATGAATATACAATTTTATCCATTTTTTAACAAAAACGTTAACAAAAGGACCTTTCGTAAAAAATGATATAATAATTGGGGACTAGGTTTGTAATTTTTGAAATGTAGAGACTAAATATGTAAAACAACATATAACTGAGGACCTTTATGGAATTTACTCAATTAGGAATAACAATTGCTATTTAATACGGAGTAGCATAAAAATATGTGGGTTTCAAATATGTAGTGTCAAAAATGAATTGTAATTGAAGAATTCAATTTCAACCAAATCAATTCTATAAAATTTTAAATTCCAATTTAATTCCAAAATCGTCAATTCCATTTATCAGAGGGACTCTAAATGATGGGACCAGGGTATTCACAATTCGGTAAACCGATCGAATCGTACCGAAATCCAAATTTTGTATGTACCAAAACCGAATCAAACAATTTGGTTTGATATTTGATATTTCCTTTTTCTAAATATCAGTTTTTGGTTTGGTTTCATTTAATAATTTGGTAATTCAATTTTTATTGAATACAAGAATTGTTAGTTCATAATATTATTTTAAATATTTTGAAGTTTGAATTCCAAACTTGAGTCGTAGCAACTCATATAACGGTCTACCTTATCTTATCCTTTATAATATTCACAATTCTAATTTTCTAAAAAAATACTTCAAATCTAGCTAAATTTTTTGAGATTTAGTTACTATTTAACTTTCCATTCTTCAATTTTTTTGTTTCGTTTGTTTTAAAAGATCAATCCAGTGAAGATAGTGAAATTTGCACTGAATAGAACTAAAACATAAGTCATTTCTCAGTGTAGGACTTAAACTTTTCTATTTCCTAAATAGGACTTAATAATGACTAGTAAGAAGAATAATGTCCAAGTGATGATGAACATTTAGTTAAATAATGACTAAAAGATTATGACCAATGGTCCTACTTTGAGAAATAAAAATATATGGTCCTATATTGAAAAAGTCATTATCTTTTAATCTTATTTAGGTAAATTAACCTTGAAGATAAGACTTTTTTAAACATTTAATTTAATAAAATACTTTTTGTGCAAGTTATATATATATATATATATATATATATATATAAGTTCAGGTGAGAATGCGATCTTATGAAAGAAATAAGAATGAATCTGGTGATTTAAATTGTGAGATCTAAGGGTCGGGATTGCATCAAAATTTGGTGCACTACAATGATTTGAAAATGCATCTTGTAGAAATGCACCAATATCCTTTAAAAATGCACTATCTCAAAATCTGAGTGCAGGGTGCAATCTGAGTCGCAGGATGCATTAGATCCAACGGCTAGATTTTATTCTTATATATATATATATATATATATATATATTCATTTATTTATTTGTGTGTGTGTTCTGGTGAGAATGCGATTTTAGGAGAGAAATGAGAATGAATCTGGTGCTTTAGATTGTGAGATCTAATGGTCAGGATTGCATCAAAATTAGTTGAACCAAAAATGGTTTGAAAATGAATCATGTCGAAATGCACCAAAATCCTTTGAAAATACATTATCTCAAAAATTGAGCGCAGGATGCAATCTGAGTGACACGATGCATCAGATCCAATAGCTAAATTTTATTCTCATTTCTCTCCACAAGGTGCATTCTCACCGAAACTGGCCCATATATATATATATATGTGTGTGTGTGTGTGTGCGCGCGCGCGCGCGCGAGTATGCATAGATTATTTTATACCTAATGAAAAATACTGCATTGTTCAAACAGCCTCTCTACTTTTAGTAAGAGTATGGTCTGCGTACATACATCCCAGACCTTGCTTTTGTGGGATTTGCTTTTGTGGGATTTTACTGGGTTGTTAATTATTTTACATTATTAATTTTTCATTTTAACTTTTTGTATATTGTAGTATTTTTTACAACAAATTAAGCACTTAGATAATCTTCGAGTAATAATATGAAAAACCAAGTAATTTATGACTAACTATAGCTAAAAAAGTATCGAGTATTTCTAATTTCTTTAAAATTTGAATAAGATGTCTAGTGATACAATTGAAATTAAAGATGGTGAACTATAAATGAAAATAAAATGAAATGTTCAGTTTTTTTGTATTACCAATTACCAAACCGAAATATTTTTTATATTAACCATACCGAACTAATTTATTATGAACCAACGCTTTTTCATCTGTTAGCGTCTTTGCTTGCTTTGTTCCCCGACTCATCGACCCTTCATGGCGCACAGTCTTGCCTTTAGATTTTCGTGAAAAATTACATTTCGGGAATGATTTTAATGTTTTTCATACGAGTACCATTTTCCCGAGACAAGTGCTGGATTAGGCGTTCCCGGATTGTTAAGAACTTCTTAAAATAATCATTGTTACTCGAGAAATTACAAGTATGAAAGATTCATAATACAATTTAAAAAAATTATTTAAAAAATTATTTAGAGAGATGCGAAGAATTTGTATATGAAAAACGTAGAGGGAATGTGTAAATATAAACAAAAAGGATACAAAAAATTTGCCTAAATTTGAATGATTAGATGAAAAGATTGCACTCTTAATTTTTGGATAGTTTCCTAAGATCTTCCAAAAGTCCGAAACGTAGGAGGGAAAGGAAATACCTAAAAATTGAACAAAAGTTTTAAGGGGCATTATCGGTAATTTACACTCCGCCCTACGCGGTAAGCCCCGCATCACAATTCTTGGGCGCCTAGCCTATAAATACCCTCAAAGCCTCCCTTCAATCGTTTACGATCCATTTAGCAGGCGGCTCGCTTTTCCATTTCTTCGTTCTTGAGACCTCGAAACCCTAGCTCCTGGTTTCTTCAAAAGCTTTTCCTCGGAAATTCTACCGCGATTTTTAAATCAAGGATTCTTCTAAACCTTTGTTCTGTTTTTCCGAAATCAAGATTTCCGATTAGTAATTTTTTTTTAAAAAAAAACAAGCTTTTCGTTTTAAATCGAACTTCAAATCGATCCGATCTGAGGATGTCGAGGTGCTTTCCGTATCCTCCACCCGGCTATACGATTACAAGAAGCAATGAAGAAGCCGCCTTGATCGAATCGATTAAGGTTTGTTGAAAGAGCACCTAGATTTACATGTATTTAATGCTCTTTGTATCGGCTGCTTTGTTGATGCTAATCGCCTTGTGCGGGCTACTGGGATTGGGATTTGGTGGGATTGGGAATTCGGGGAGGGTGTTGTACTGACTCATGTCCTGTGTGCGTAGGGTTTTGTGTACTTTGGGTTCCCGATTTGCATAAATGTATCCTGCATATACAGATGCTTAGGTTTAGGCCTTAGGGTTGTTTGAATTTGTGATGGAAAGAATTGAAAATCAACTTCTTGAGTTTGCATGGGCTTAGAAGTGGTTTCATCTATGACTTCCAGTGAAATTCTTGTGTTTCAATGCCAATTCATCTCAGCCAGGTTGTTTTTTTGTCATGTGTCTTTGTTTTTAACTAAGACCAAAGCCCTATCACTGGAAAGGGGTGGCTGTGAAACTTTTCTTTTTGCGGATCATCATTCGTGGGATAAACTTCATTGCCTTGGTTTTACTATGGACCCCTTTTCGACCAAGTTGTGTTTGGTAGGGCTTATCCTTAAGTATGGAGCAAATGGGAAGGAACCAAATGGGTTTTAAGCTTTATTTTCCTCCAACACTTGATTTTTTTCATTTCAATTAAGGAATTAATTTCTCAAATTAAATGAATTTTTTGGTGTACAAAGAAGAAATCCATTCCAATGAATTTCTGAAGTGTTGTCTAAGCAATAACCTCAATTTTACAAATGGGATGTACCGACTTTTTTTGTGCAAAACTGTCACTTATTCATACTCAGTGACATTTAAGATCAACTAGTAAGTGTTTTGTGTTGGAAATCTTAGGATACATTTTCTGTGCATTACCAATTTGTTTGTAAAAACTTCATGTTTTTTTGGGAGTATTCTTCTGTTGAAACCATTGAAAAAAAATCACCTGTACATCCATCTATTTTCATTGTCTGTATCGAGCACACTTTTTTTTGTGGTCCTTACTCCAAGTCTCCAACCTAGTGTACCCCTTTCTTTGGCCTCATAAGATTTCATCCTTTTCACTTGTTTCTATGGTATGACTGAGTTTGATCGGCCAGGAGTGTATAAGTGGAAAAATATTGTCAATATTTTTGAACACTGCATGTTACTTGTGATTGTGAAGAGTAATGAGGAGGAGCATTAAGCTTCGTATAAACATCCTGAAAATGTTATTGAGGATCTTTATCTATATCCTTGTCATGCTGGATTTGATCCTCTTGCTCGAAATTCTAAATTTGTTGTCCTGGTTCCCTAAAGCTCCAAAAGGAGAGGGAGAAAGCCAAAAGAGAAAGAAAAGAAGAGAAGAAGAGGGCAAAGAAGGAGAAGAGAAAAGAAAGTAAAGAGAAAGCAAAACAAAACTTGAGTGATTCCGCTCAGAAAAACAAAGCCCACAAGCAGAGTTCTGAGCTAAAAGGCGGAAACATAGGGGTTAAGAGACCCTCTGAATCTGAGCAGCTCGAACGGAGCAATCTAACTGAGGAATTTGGCCATGCTGTTTGTTCAGAACACCCAAACCATTCAACTGACAGCACCCAAGACAGCAACAAAAGGAGAAGGATTTCTTCCCCACCAGATGTAACCCGCCCTCATGGTGTGTTTTCATCACTTATAAGTAGATAACTACAGCAATTCTATTTCAATCTTTATGATGGGACTCACTTTTGTTTTTCATTTCTGTTTTTAGGAAATGTTATTAGAATACGCTTGCCTTCACAGAAGCTTGTCAACAATGATTCTTCTTCAGCTCCCAATGAGCAGATGTGTTCAACATCTGGGAGGATTGATTTACCTTTGCAGCCCAAATGCGAAAGTACTTCCACTGCTGCTGCTGCTGCTGGTACCACATTGTGGGCATCACTAAAAGCTGTTGAGGAGAGCTTGCCATCTGCCCCGTACTCTCTAAAAACATGTCAAACTTTGCGGGTTTCCCAAAAAGATGTTGAGAAGAGCTTGCCTTCTACTCCTATAAACACGTGTGCTTTGCGGGTAGTGAAAGAAGCTGTTGAGAAGAGGTTATCATCTGCAAGGGAGGAGACGCCAATGCAGAAAGAGGAAATGAGATACAGGGATTTGATAGAGAAGTGGATTCCTCCAAGTTTGAATGACGACCTTGATAGCCTGGATCAGGACTGGCTGTTCAACAGAAAGCGAGATACGTGCGCGAAGAAGAAGCAACAGCCCATATCCACTCCCAACATGCTGTGTAGCGCCTCTGCATTATGGCCGCCACGTGCTCAGTTTTTGCCAGACGCCGAAATATATGCCTTGCCCTACACAATCCCTTATTGAATCCTTTGTACAAAAAGGTTAGGCCTGTTATCCTATCCCACTCGATGTAAAAATTTTGTAGCCCCCCAGAAGAGAGGAATTGTATTTATCGTACGTAGTAGATGGTGTGCTTCTGCCAGCATGTGTTCTTAACGCCACTTATTTGAACATCCCAAACAGGTAGTAGGGAGGGAGAGCATTCTCTACATCTATCTTCACCAGAATGGGGTGTGGATGATATTCTGCTGAGCATCATCAGCTGTCCATTTTTACACTAAAACAATGTATACTATCAAGTCCACTTATCAATAGTTAGATTCTTTTTTTTTCTTTTTTGAAAAATATTGGATGTTACTTGCTCTAAGAGGGATATTTTCTGTTCTAAGAGGAATATTTTCTGTTCATGAACTCTCTTATACTTTTGCCTACTAAAAAAGGGTTAAAATGAGTCGGGGATATTCTCTCTTTAACAAAAATGAATTCACTTGTGGAAATATGTTGGCGTGGTAAAAGAGTCACTCTAAGCTTGAACAGATATTCTACTAATGAGTATGTGAGGTACTAAAAAAAGTGAATTCAGTGTACACCAAAATTTGTATCCTATTTTGTATTCCGAAAGCATGTACCAATATCTTGTGCTAGTGTGATGGTTTATATTGATACAAAATGTCAGTGTAAACATTTTTTGTGAACTGTAAAAATACTCGTGTATCCCTTTGAAGTACAACTTGAGTACATTTTTGGTCAAATCTCTAGCATGATTGAATTTCAGTTTGTTAGCAAAACTCCATATAGTTCTAAGATGATGATGACACTAATAATAGGGTGAAGCTATCAGGAGTGTCTCTCCCAATGTAAGTCTTTGAACTCCAAGGAGTTGTAGACCCTTAATCTTCCTCGTCTAGGAGTTGATCTTATGTTTCCTCTACAATTCAAAATTATAAGTGTTCCTGAATCCTGACCCTATGTGGTAAATATATTAGCTTTTGGTTTGTCTATGTTAATGAGATGATACATCTGTTGGCTTATGCTACTCATTCTGGTGCAGGCATAAGAGAGTAGATTTGGTCTTCCAATATCGTATTTAAACTTCTATGTCTCAAAAAAGACATTTGGTTTGACTTAACACAAAATTTAAGAAAAATAAAAAATGTGGCTAAAAGTTATGCAGAAAAGAGAGAAATATTATGAGTCACCCAAGTTTTTCAAAAAAGAAAAGATGGTGTCCTTTTTTGTCGTATCAATATGAAATACGATGTTTTTTTTTTTGAATAAATGAAGTTTATTACTCTCCTGTTTTCAGAAGGTTCTCATTTGACTTTTTAGGATAAAAATTGAAAATTTTTTACCATAAAATTTTAAATAATAATGTAAATTTAGTATTCAAAATCATTTAATCTGGCTTGAATGCAATTTTGAAATATCACATTTCTATTAAAACTATTAATGTTTAAATATAGATATTAATGATCAAAGTGATAAATTGGAAAGTTTAAAAAAATTATAAAAATCTACCTAAATGGCCAAAATGGGATCAATTCCAGTTAGATGACATCTTACTGTAAGATGACATGATACGGTCAGATGATGCAAAACTCACCACAGACCACTGCAAAGCTCACCAAGAATAACTACAAAGCTGACCAAACTGTAAGGCAAAGATCACCATATTTTTTTCAACACTTTGATTTTTAAAAAAAAAATAAAATCAAAGGAAGAGGTGTTGACTAGATTTTGACCGTTGACCGCCACCATTAACCGCCACCGCGCCGCCTACCACCTACTGCTGGTTGCCGCACCGCTTTCCACTGTCGTCGGACGCCGTTGCTAGCCGGTGGTTGACCAATGTTGCTATTTTATTTTTAATCAATTTTTTAATTTTTAAAATTTTAAAAATGGTTAGTTTTGGTGTTTAAAGTGGTGAGCTTTGTTTTATTTCCATGTGAGCTTTGCATTGGCTATTGGTGAACTTTGCAGTGTAATATGGTGAGGTTGGAATCATCTCACCGAAGCATGTCATCTCACCATAAGATGTCATGTGACTGACTGAAATCGATCTCATAGCTAAATAGAACTGAAGGATATAAGTTATACTAACTTAGAATCTCCTACATTTTTTATTATTAAATACGAGTGTTTGCACTATGAATGTCCGAACTTGACATTGTACATTGGCGATTAATGATGTTTTGGCATTATATATTCATATTTCATAGTTTTTGACATCATATATAAGTCACATATTGATATTGGAGAGTTTTAATTTAAAATATGGAACTTGTTTTAGTTTTTGTTATAATAAGAGTTGTTGTTGTTGTTGTTAGTTGTTATTATTATTATTATTTGTTAAAAAAACTCATTACTTCCTCCGTCTCAAAAGTCTTTCCTATTTCATTTTTTGCGCATCCCATAAAACACTTCTACCTACATTTAAAATGCCTAAAATTTACAACATTTCTTCTTTATTGTGGATAGAAGTTAATTTGAAGTTTTTTTGGCATTTAAGGCGGGATAGAAGTGTTTTATGTGATGCGCAAAAAATGAAACAGGAAAGACTTTTTAGGACGGAGGGAGTATTAAATTGTATAATATAGGATGAGTCTCATTCTTGAGGGTCTCTTCAGACTCAGTCAGACGGTATCTGAGTGATAATTTGGACTTTGATCATACTCTCTCCGTTTCTTAAAACAGTTTCTCTTTTATTTTTTTTCTTTAAAACAAATCTATTTTTTGTTAAAAATGACTAATATTTCTAAATTAAGTCATTACAATATATCCCATTCAATTTGGTGATATAATAAATCATTTAAATAATTTACTACTTAATTAGAATGTCAAACTACAAAAATAAATCTCTTCTAAATCAAAACATAAATTATTTCAGGCAAGGGAGTATTAAGGAGTACTTAAGTGAAGGCCTGGGCACTTAGAACGATTCTTTGCAAAAGCCGTTACATGTTCATTTCAGACGTTCGCCTTCTGTCCTGCATTAAATTTCTCATATTCTTCTTCTTCTTCTTCTTCTTCTCCAGTCTGTTAATCGTGATATAACTTGAATCTGATCTGTTGCCGATATCTCATTCTGTTTTTTTTTTGCCACATTTTCTTTTCACAATTCTTAAATTCTCTTGCACAGGATGGTGATTTCATAGAGGTATTAATGTTCATCCTGTTCTATGTATTTTTTTCTTGTTCGTTATTTATTTGATGATCTTCTTCTCATCAAACAAAAAATGCGTTATTGTTTGCAGAGAATTCGAAGAAGGTTCGAGAGATGGGTTTCATTAGCACTATAATGGGTCTTTTTGGGTTCGGATTTGGGATCACAATTGGTCTGCTGATCGGATATTTTTTGTTCATTTACGTCCAGCCCACAAATGTCAAGGTACATTTTCTGCATTTTGTGTTCTTTCATTCCATGGTTTTGAGTGTTTTTGCTATTTCTTCTGCTTTATTTTGACATTTTCTGCTGAATATGGTTATTGTTATGTATAAAACAATTCAAAAATGAATTTTAACATTCATTCTCAGGAGCCCCATATACGTCCCTTGGCAGAACAAGACTCTGATTGCCTTCAGAGACTCCTCCCAGAAATACCACTTTGGGTGAAAAATCCCGATTTCGACCGGGTATGAAATAACATTAGGATTTGATATTCACACTCTAATTGTTTCGGTTGATTTTTTTTATTTAATAAGGTATTTTTGTCTTTCAGTGATAAATTTAGGATGTCATTACCAATGTTTGAGTGGCAATATCAATTCTAAAAAAAAAAACAAGCTTTTATCTGTTGCATTTATTTAAGAAGGATGAAGTGTATAAGATTGTTAGAGTATATATTAAGGGTTTTTTAAAAAACTTTTTTGAACTTGATTTATAAACTTAAACTTTTGATTGAGTTGATTCCTTTATAAAGTACGAGAACCTTGTTGATCTAGAAATCACGGGTGTAGATCTTTGTAAAAGCTTTTATAGGCTTCTGATCACACATGATTTTTGGTTGAGTTGGTTTCAAAACATTTAGGATGAAATTCTAACTGGTGCCAGTAAGTGTGTAACATAATCTAACCATGACAACACTTTGTTGCTGTAAACTGAAACCATATATGCATGCAGCTGGATTGGCTTAACAGATTTGTTGAAACCATGTGGCCATATTTGGACAAGGCATGTTTCTTTCATTCTCTCATCAATTCCATCCCCACCAAAACATTGTTTTTTTTCTTGCTTTAAGAGTTCTTCAACTTGTTGATGGGTACAAATTGTTTCCATCAGGCAATTTGCAAGACAGTGAAACAGATAGCAGATCCCATAATAGCTGAGCAAATTCCTAAGTTCAAAATTGATTCAGTGGATTTTGAAGAGCTTACACTAGGCAGCCTACCACCTACTTTTCAAGGTTGACCATACTCTTTCTTCTCAAATATTCTATTTGTCCCAATATATTTGTTCAGCATTATTTTTTTGGATATTTCTAATGTATCTGTCCATTTTCCGTTTAAGGGAAAGAATTAAAGTGACATTGACTTATTTGTCCTCACTTGATACTCAATAACTCAAAAGTCAAAATTCCCTCTTACAAAGAGTATATAAAAGTAAGGGCATAATGATTCCTCTTCATTTTTCTTCACCCCTGTGTAAAAAAGGATTTGGACAAATACATATGAACAAAAGTAAATTTTAAAATCTAGAGAACTAAAGTAAGGGCATAATGATCCCCTTTCTTCCTTCTTTTTTATTTTCGATTCCCAGAAATACCCTTTACATTCTTCTTTATTATCATCATGTGATTTGGGTACTCATTGCAGTGCAACATTTTGACACATTTTGACATTTTAACATAATGAACATTTTTGTGTATAGGAATGAAAGTGTTTTCTACTGACGAAAAGGAACTGATTATGGAACTAGCCTTAAAGTGGGCTGGTAATCCCAACATCCTCGTGGCCGTCAAAGCATTTGGGCTGAAAGTCACTGCTCAGGTACAACTGGCCCACTCAAAAGGAACTTTGTATTCCCTTCTATCCCAAAATAAATTCACATTTTCTAGTATAATTCGTTTAAAATAAAAATTGCATTCTTTTATAAAAGGAATGTAGTTCATAGTATTTATCTTTTCCAAACAAATTCTTACCACATACTTTTCACTTTTTGAAACACATTTTCTTAAATTTCATGAATTCGAACCATGAATTTGATTTGCGGACAGTAAGTGGGAGATGATTATTGATAGTATGAATAAATTTGGAATATTTCAGGTGTTGGACCTGCAAGTATTTGCTTTGCCACGTATTACCCTGAAGCCACTGGTTCCAAGTTTCCCCTGTTTTGCAAAAATACTTGTGTCACTCATGGAAAAGGTCAGTGACAAAACTATCATATTAAACCCATGATAAGTTTTATAATTGTATAATAGTTTGGAGTTTTGATTTGAATGCTTTTTGCACTGATGCATGCACTTAATTGGGTTTATGAACCATCTCAACATAGTCTCTAACCTCTTAGTGGAGCTGTCTCTAGGCCTAGGCGAATTAGGCATGAGTTTAGGGCTCCAAAATTTTTAAGAGGTTCAAAGTATATCATATATTGATAAATGTAAGTCAAATGTGCAAAGTTCACAGAAGTTCAACCTCGTTTAAGTCGCAAATATTGTGTTGACCAATTGTTTTTATTATCGGCTATTGTCTATCTCACTCTCCATTAGAAAACCCCTTATGGTACGTTTGGGAACATGGATTTGGATTTCAAATCCGGATTTGACTTAAATTCCATGTTTGGGAAATCTAAGCATTTTGAATTTGGATTTGAGTCAAATTCTTTACATTCAAAATAATGCTTAATTTGAAATCCATGCACCTCCCCTTGTCATTTGAAATTCAAGATTTCAAATTTTGGAATTGAAATGCATGAATTGAAATGAAATGCTAATTGCCAAACACTACCTTAATTAATTTGTCGTCTAGCTAGGGCCCTCGATAGGCTAGAAATGCTAATTTGACGTATAGGACCTCTTAGGATGGAACTCAACGAGTCAATGTCTTGTTACTATTACACTCAGAGAGAGGAAAATATTATACTCCCATTAGTCTCATATGTATTTATATGTCCAATTCTTTATGCAGCCTCATGTTGACTTTGGACTAAAATTGTTAGGAGCTGATGTTATGTCCATTCCTGGCCTTTATACATTTGTTCAGGTACGTACTTTTTTTTATTTTGTAGTAATTTTTTTCTTACCTTCATCTATCTATTCACATTCTTTTATTCCAAAAACAATGTGCTATATGTTCTGCTAATTGGATCTTTTATTTTTTTTATTATTGCAGGAAATTGTAAAAGAACAGGTTGGTAACATGTATCTGTGGCCAAAAACACTTGATGTCCAAATAATGGATCCTGCAAGGTAACTTCACATTTCCAATCTATTAAAGCTTTATCACCCTCTCTCCTAATAATCTTCTCACTTACTTTGGTCACACAAAAATGTTGTCCAACTGCATTCTTCGGGTTTTATATTATTCTTCTTCTTTAAAACAATATAAGTATGACACTTCTTGTTTTATAAAGTTCTTGTTTTAGTTTTTAAATACGGAGGCGCATTTTACACTAATATTCTTCTGTCTCTTGTATCCTTTTTGACAGAGCAATGCAGAGGCCAGTTGGGATTCTTAATGTTAAGGTTGTGAGGGCAATGAAGCTCAAGAAGAAAGACCTTTTGGGGGCTTCAGACCCATACGTCAAACTTAAGCTCACCGATGACAAACTCCCTTCAAAGAAAACAACCGTGAAGCACAAAAATTTGAACCCAGAGTGGAACGAGGAGTTCAGTCTTGTTGTTAAGGACCCTCAGTCTCAGTCTTTAGATATCTCTGTCTATGACTGGGAACAGGTATATCAAATTTCAGAATTCCCATGGTATGTTTGGGAACATGGATTTGGATTTCAAATCCGGATTTGGCTCAAATTCCATGTTTGGGAAACTTAAAAATTTTGAATTTGGATTTAAGTCATATTCTCCTCATTCATAACAAAGCTTGATTTAAAATTCATGCACCTCCCCTTGTCATTTGAAATTTAAAATTTCAAATTTTGGAATTGAAATGCATGAATTGAAATGAAATGCTAGTTGCCAAACACTACCTAAATGCTTTCATTTCAGATTTTAGAATTCATATCATTTCTCCCAGATTTGAGTATATATATGGCATTCCATCATTTTTAATGCAGGTTGGTACACATGACAAGATGGGTATTAACACAGTCCCTTTGAAAGATCTTATATCCACGCCAGAAGAACCCAAAGTACTGACGCTGGATCTTCTAAAAACCCTTAAGCCGGACGACCCTCAGAATGAGAAATCGCGGGGGCAGATTGTCCTTGAAGTCATGTACAAACCATTCACAGAGGAGCAGCAAATGCCATCTGCTGAGGACTCATTGAAACAAGTGGAGGCAGCTCCTGAAGGAACACCTGACGGCGGTGGCTTGCTTGTAGTCATTGTCCATGAAGCTCAAGACCTTGAGGGGAAGCACCACACCAATCCTTCTGTCCGTTTGATTTTCAAAGGTGAAGAAAAAAGAACCAAGGTAATTTCTTTTTTCTTCTCCATTGATCGTTTGATAAATAATATAGTCATGTCACTTTTTTTTTAGAACTTTTGATGTAGTTTTTTGATGACTTTTTGGGACGAAAGGATTAGTAAGTTTTCAACGAAGTTTTTTTTGGAATGCTGCAGACTGTAAAGAAAAATCGAGATCCAAGATGGGACGAAGAGTTCCAATTCATGTTAGACAAGCCGCCTACGAATGATAGGATGCATATTGAAGTTGTTAGCACATCTTCAAGGATGGGTCTCAGATATCCCAAGGTAGAGTACATTTTTATATTTCTACGTACCTCCAAAACGTAAATGTACGGAAATTAAATACTTATGGGTAGTGTTTTTTGCCACATATAATGTCACCGACTTTGTGTTTTTTAGGAATCTCTTGGATATGTGAACATACCACTAATGGATGTAGTTACCAACAAGAGAACAAATGAGAGGTATCACCTTATTGACTCCAAGAATGGTAGGCTTCAGGTTGAGTTACAGTGGAGAACCGCATCTTAATGATCACAAGTGGTTTATCTCCCAAATCCTTTGGAATTTCTTGAGATCATTCATAGTAATGGGTTCTCTTTTGATTGGATTGAGGGAGTTTAATGGATGATGAGAAAGGGAATGTGCATGGAAGGGAGGAAGAACTCTCATTTCTTCTTTGTTTACCTCATGAGAATGGAAAGCTTATTTATGTGGAGTTAGGAGGAGGGGAAGGAACCAGTTGTACCACGTACTCACACGTTTCACGGTTTATTGAAATTATTTTTTAAAAAATAGTTTTGCTACTCCTTGGGGTAGTGCTAAGATTGTCATATACATACTTTATTTAAAAAGCCATGGATTCTCGATTTAGTTTTCCCACCCATTTGGTGTTCCAATAAAAATGGTAATTGTTCACCCCATATGGTAATTACTCAATTAAAATGGAGTTACACGGGTCATTAATGGAGTTACCATAATTGAGTAATTACTCAATTAAAATGGTAAGTAATTTAAAGTAATAATAAAATATTCAAACATAATTACACTTACCGTTAATAAATCAAACCTTTTTAACTAGTTTATACGAATGGTAATAATTGTATTTAATTATATTTACTAATATATATGTAATAATAATATCTAATAACTTATTTCATTTAAAAATGGTAATTAAAAAATTAAGTACGTATATCACAAAAGGTAATTAAAAATCTAATTACCATAATAAAGTAAGGCTAATAAAATAGATATATTATTTTACAAATGGTAATTGTATTTAATTATATTCACTACTTTATATGTAATAGTATCTAATAAATTATTACATTTAAAAAATGGTAATATATACATGTATTTTGAATGATAAAATTCATATAAAGTATTAAGTACGTATATTTAATATAAAGTATTAAGTGCATATATAAAAAAGATAATTAAAAATCTAATTACCATAATAAAGAAACGCTAATACATGTAATTTTATGGTAACGGAATCGTGTTTTGGTAATATAAACATGTGTTTTGGTAATAAACTATTAAAAACGTATATAAAAAAGGTAACTAAAAATCTAATTACAATAATAAAGAAAGGCTAATAAAATGGTAATTGCTTTGGTAATATAGTATCAGTAATTAAGTACGTATATAAAAAAGATAATTAAAAATCTAATTACCATAATAAAGAAAGGCTAATAAAATAGATATATTATCACTACAAGAAAATGCAAAAACAATGACGGAAAATGGCGACGGAATGCTTTCCGTCGTTATTAGGGACGGATATAGCGACGGATATGGGCTGCCTACCAGACTTAATCACGGATTTTAAGTTCCGTCGTTAAGTATAGGCGGGAAGTAGTGCGCGCTGCTTTTAACGACGGACTTAGCGACGGATAATAAGCGCCGTTAGATTGGCGACGGAAAAAAACGGTCGCTGAGTTTACTTTATTTTTAACGATGTCGTTTTAGGTAGCGACGGAATAATACCGTCGCTACATTCCGTCGCGGAAAACCAGATCTTAAATCGGTCTCCTTCCCTTTCACCAGACAGAAAGATCGAAGAGCAGAGGAGAAGTCGTCCAAGTCGCCGTCCCCCAAGTCGCCTTTCGCCGCTGCTCGTAGCCCTCTTCTCCGCTGGTTGCCGTCCCCTTCCCTTCCGTTCGCCGTCTCTCCATCTTCAAATCTCAGGTGTTTTTCCTTTTTTATTTTACATTTAAAGTTGTAAACAAATTAGACTATAGATTATCTTTTTACATTCGAATTAACAATTATTATTGTTTGATGATATAATTAAAAAGTATATTATTATGTGTAAACTTTTGACATTTTCTTTTAAATTTGAAATTAGGGTTTTTTCCCCAAAAAATTTATCATTTTTTTTTAAAAAAACTTAATTATATGCTTGAAACTTTTAGTGAATGAATATTATGCTTATTAATAACATATTTTAGATATTGTAGATGCTAGATGAGGATTATGTACGTATTATGTAGTTTGTTGAATATTGTAGTTCTTGTGCTTTTATATTTATTTTTTTTAGTTTTTTGTAATGAATTCTATAACTTAATAGTATGTCAATTTTATTTTTTTGAATTTCTCAGAATGAGTGACTTTCACGAAAATCAAGATTGGATGTATAAAAGACTTGATAGCTCAGGTTTTATAAATACAGATTGGGTTGACAAAGTTAGACAATTCATTGAGTTTTGTGAGTCAAATCCAAAAGTAGACAGATTCAACGGGCAGATGCGTTGTCCTTGTAAGATTTGTAAGAATAAATATTTTAAAGATATCGAGGACATTAAGCTTCATGTACTGAGACAAGGTTTCACTCCTAAATATCTTGATTGGGTTTGCCACGTGGCTGGGTTGAAACCACATCTGATACACAAAAGCTCAAGAGTACTGACGATTTTGCGTACCAAGAAGACGCAAGAGTGGCAGTCGAAATTGTTGAAGTTGAACCGCATGAGGAAGCTCCACTACTTGCAGAAGTTCCACAGTTAATTGATCTCGATGATAGTGAGGACGAAGAAAGTGATGATGTTGAGNATTAATTACTACTGATGAGAGCTCTAGCGAAAATGTGTTCATGTCCGATGATGAATTATCATAAAATAGACTTTAATACAAAAGGTGGTTGAACAAATATATTGTTGTATTCATATTATTAACTGTTTTACTAATTAATTACTCTTCTTTGCAGATGGCTGGTGGAGATAAGGGTAAGGGTCACGCAGAGCAAACAAAGTCCAATACTGGGAAGTGGAAAGAACTTTCTAGGTTGCGACATGCCATCCTTGGTGGTGGTAGATCAAGCGGCACATCGGCGAGCGCATAGAGTTATGTACATTTTTAACACGTATACAAAAATTGTAATAAAAAAATAACGTTAAAATGGCCAACCTAAGGGAAACAATTAAAATGGTAAGTAATTTAAAGTAATAATAATTCTTTTGCACAGGTCATTAATGTTACACGGTTTTGACTCATCGGAAAATGGATTTCCTAATTTTCGATTCAACTTTAAGAGTTTTGAAGATGTACTCAAAACAAAGTTTGCTGACCAAGTCTTTTTAGTTGGTAAGAGTCATTTACATTTACATAACTTAAATACTTACACATATGAAATACATTTCATATATTATGATTATGAAATTTATAAAATTGTACTGTATTTTTCTGAATTTTCAGATATAATCGGGAAAATAGTTAGTCGAACCGCGCCCAAAATCCGTATGGTTAATAATGCCCCCAGAGCAAATGATGGAAGTTACCTTGGAGGACCACATGTATGTGACTTTTTAAAAACCGAATTCATTTTAATAAAAAAAATATTATGACCGGATATATATTAATTACTAAATAATTCAATTTCATGAGACATTATTTTATTAACTAATTGCTAATAAAGGATTGTTATTAATTGCCTCCATTGTTATAGAAAGAAAAATATTTCATGTTTTAAATCACTAGACGCATTTTGAAAATAAGGAAAAATATATTGAGCATAATGTATACTTTACATAACTATGCATTATGAAATATATTTTTAAAGTATATATTACAAAAGTATTTATTAATTTTGACATATATTAAATTTAAAAATAATTTTAACTTTTTTTGTAGTGGCATTCGGTTGAATGGTACATTATAGGGAAATCACGTCAATGTTTTCATTGATGGATTGAGTGCATCGGATTCGACCCTTCCAATTTTGGTGTTGCAAATGGTGAAACCTAAGTTGTACAACGGTATACTCATAAATTAATTCAAATTAATTTTGAAAGACATGTACCCAATGAATTAATTCTAATTGTATATTTTTTTAAAATCATTTAGAGCAAGTGTCTGTTACAACATTTTATTCTGTGAGTAAGGTTTTACTCAACGATGAGCAAGGTTGGACTACTCTTACGGAAACCTGTGTTTAGTCATGGACAACTCTATGTTGCAGTTTCAAGAGTAACTAATCGTAGTGGATTGAAGATTCTGATACGCAATGAAGACAATACTCCCACAAAGACTACAAATAATGTAGTATATAAAGAAGTCTTTCGAAATTTGTAAAACATTGATGTTCTGTACCTTAAAATAATATTAACTCTATATTCTATTGCATCTCATTTTTTATCATTGAAAAATGATCTGAATATAATAACATAAAAATGACCCAAAATAATATAATATCTATATTCTATTGCATCTCATTTTTTATATTCTATTGCAACGCACGGGTGTGATACTAGTCTTTGTCAAAACTTATTTCTAAGTTAGATAAACTTTTATGTCCCAAAAAAATTCTCCATAAGACAATGACATAAACATTTTTTGTGAAGAAATAATATGAGATTTTGAATTAGAAGTACGTTGAAAAGTTATGTTATTATATCTGATAAATGTATTGTTAAGAACAAAAAAACTTATACTCCCTTCGTCCCCAATTTGATTACAATTTTTTTTCTTTCTTCTCTCGATACATGATTTTATTAAGTATTTGATTGAATAAAATATTCTTGTTGCCTCTTGTTTTGTAGAACTTTTGATGTAGTTTTTTAATATGTAATTTTTATTTTGCATCAATATACCAATTTGTAAATATAATGATTTAAAAAGTGAGATATTTCTCCTCATAAACTCCAATTTGTAATCAAATTGAGGACAGAGGAAAAATAAATCTACGCACAATATGAATTGAAGAGGAGTTACCTTACATATTAGTGGCAAAATACCTTTAATTTGACTGTCATTTCATACACATTTTTGGTAGAAGACTATTTAGGAAATACATCTTCATTATAAAAGATCACTTTGGTAATTATTATTGCTGATGGATGACTAATTTGAAAAAACACCTCATTAGAAAAGATTGTTTTGGAAATTTACTCTACTTTTTGTCTTGAAATTATTTTTTCAGTTACTATTTACATGATCAAATTTATTGTTTTCTTTTTATTAGTAATTCAATTAAAGAATGTAGTCATGTTAAATATAGTTTTATAAAACTTTTGATATAATTTATATATATATATATATATATTACACCTATAATTAAATAAATTGAATTAAATATACTTAGTTAAATTTTGTAAACTAAAATGGGAAATAAATTTTAGGATGAATGGAGTAAGATAACGCAGCGCTGCGAACAGGCGGTCGTCCATTGCGACGGTCCGCCGCCATGGACCGAAAAGTATTATTTTTAAAATTTTCAACTCAATAAATTCAACACATCTTCAACTTCAATTCATCCACTTTCATCCCTTGTAATTTACTCTCAGCTCATATAATTCCCTCTTATCTTTCTATTATCTCTCTTATCTCAGTATAAAAAAATGAATCCCGACGACAACAATTTCCACTTTGAGAATTCTGAAATCGATTCTTTCATCCAATTTGCAAACTCCGATACTTTCCCCGGAGGAATGAAAGATGACTTTTCCCCGTTCTCGGACTCCAACCACAACCCCTACCAATTAACGACCATTAATACGACTGACTACGACGTTTTAGAGTTCGACACCATCATCGAGGGCATTAGCAAAGGGCATTAGAAAAAGATTAATTGGTCGAAGAAGTATACTCCGGTAAAGAGTGTGACATTGGTGAAGTACTGCACCGACGTGTCGAAGGACACCATCGTCGGTAACTACCAGAAATCTAGAATGTTCTGGGGGCGTGTTGTGATGAAGTACAACACCGGGAGGCTCGATGGTACACTCTTACGTGACGGGAAGATTCTTCAGAAACATTAAAGCCGTGTGCACTCGGGAGTCTAAAAGTTTGGTGACCTTTATGTCAATGTGCTCAAGACGTGGCCCAGTGGATCCACTACCAAAAGATATTATGTCGAAGACGTTGGACCTTTATTATGAAGCGAAGAAAAAGGTTTTCAAGTTTCTAGAAATTTGGAAAATTCTATAGAAGAGACTCAAATTCAGCATCGGGGTAGACGTCGAAGGATCGAAACTGAAGCAATCCAAACTATCCAAGACTGACTCATACTCAACGAGCAGGGACGGACATTCCATCAACCAAAATGCCACATGGGACGACTTCCCCCTGCTTTGGTAATTTTTTTAAACTTTTGAAGTGGTTGTTTGAATTTGGTTAAATTATGGCATGAATTGTCTCTGCCGACTCACTCAATTGCCGCCGACTCATTCAAACGTCTCTGCCGGAAGAAGCACCAGCACCTCAGACTCAAAAATCTCAGTAAGTTCTGTGGGAAGGAGGGGTATTTTTGGAAGTTAAAGCCATAATTATCCATTTCTTAAAAATGACCTTTAGTCAAAGTGGGAAGATCAATATAGGACGGAGGGAGTATTTCGCAAAAAATTGCTGCTAGGTACCCCCAATTTTGTGATAAAAACTGGGAGGTCCCATTAGTTTTCAAAATATACTCCGGGGTACCTTAAAATATTCAAAAAGTGATTCCCGTGTGACAATCTGTCTGTGTCCGTCAATGTTTCCTTTTCCGTTATCTTGTTCTCATTCTTCATTTCTTCATCCTCTTTCCATCTCATCCTCCTTTCTTCTTTCTTCTTTTTTTCTTCTTTCTTCTTCTTCTTCTACGCCTTCCCATCCAATCAATCTCCCATCCCTCCCCTTTTTTCTTCTTCTTTTTCTTCTATTATTATATTATTATTAATATTAATTATTATTTTATTATTTGTTATTATTATAATCTTTATTTATTATTATTATTATTTTATTTAATTAGTAGTTTGACTAATCTAACTTTTTTAGTAGTTTTACTACTCTAAAGCTTTAATTGAAAATTACTTTTAGTAATATATTTATGTATAGTTTATAAAATTAAAATTATTTATTCACTTGGTTATAAATTATACGTCGTAATTCATAATAATATAAAATTTAGAACTGTTTTTTATTGTTTCATACGTAGTATTATCTTTTAAAAAAATCCAGAGACACTTATTCATCGTCTTATTCTTTTCTCAAGTCCTCTCGTTTTCTCGATTTACCATGACACTACTACCCATGGAGACTACTGATGACTAATGCGTGGCTAATGCGAAAGACAACATCGGATAACAAAAAATAGAGTAGTAAAACTACTAATAATTTGTTTAACAATAATATAATAATAAGTGTTATTTTAAATAATAAAAGCTATTTTTCTAAATAATAACGATTGTGGTTTCTGACAAATAAAGTAATAAAACTACTAATTAATTTTTAATAATAATTGAGAAAATAATAGGAAATAAAAAATACTATCTCTGCCCCAGAGTACCTATCAGGTTTTGACTTTTTTAGTTAACCGTTTTTAATCTTTGACCTCCAATTAAATAAAATATATATTATATATTAATTCGATAAAATAATATTTTGAAAATATTTTATATAATAAATCTAATAAAACTATTTTTCTATCAATATTTATCTAATATCATTTTTATTTAGTTTAGGGTTAAATTTTATCAATTTTGACTGAAAAGTACTCCCTCTGTCCCAAATGATTTACACGTTTCAAAAAAATTGTGTCCCACAATCTGATCTCCTTCTCATTTCTATTAAAAAACCGCTTTTACTCCTTATTTTTTCAAATCCTACCTATCACATCATACTTTTTTCCTAATAATCTACACATCACATCCTACTTTTACCCATCACATCAAGGATATTTTTGGAACGTCAACACAAAATTATCCCTTCCTTAATTTTAACTTTAGTCAAAACGTGTAAATCTTTTTGGGACGGAGAGAGTAATTAATATGAAGTAATAATAATAAGTACTACTCCGTATTGTTTTTATAAAAATTACAGAAGTAAAATTACTTATTAATTGCATTAAATAAATAATAGCACTAATAATAAGTGTTTTGTATAATAAGTGCTATTTTTCTAAAAAATAATTACTGATTTTTGTAGAAAAGAGTAGTAAAAGTAATAATTAATTTTAAATAATAAT